TCCGATCCACTTAATATATACAAAATTTTTAATCAGGTCTAAATATAATTTAATTTTTTCCAATGGAATAAAATTACTCGTACATTATAGACTTAAGTAAAAATTGCGTGTCTTGAATTTTAAAGTAAGTATAGAAATTGCCAGTTATCTGGCTTTAGCTAATTAAGAAAGCTGCATTTTGTAAATTAACTTATTGACACGCAAAACATTTCAAATATATGTATACATGTAAACGATAACTAGCTATATTTAGACTGCTATTTTTAGTTTTGTAGTACGAACATGTATATACATAAGTAAATAAATCTGTTTACGAATGAACTACTCGATATATTTATATGCCCAAAGCCCGATCGGATAATGCAATGTTGCAATTTTGACATCAGTATGAATTTTTTCGAGAATGAATTTAATATAAAAAAAAATAAATAGACTGAACTTTTCCTTTGTTCTATTCATGATAAAGCAGGAGCAAAAACCGCTCCACAACCAGCGTCAGAGGAGCAATTTACATGCTCCAAGTACCTTGGACAGTCGGGAGCCATGAACTGACCGACGGCGAGCAGCTCTTCTGTGGCTCTCAATTCGATAACAGCGGGGGCAACAAGGCAGCACAGCAACAGATACTGCGTCCACTACTCTAACTCTCTAAGTGATCTAAGAAAGAAAGATGATTGGAGGTCTGTGGACAATGACCCCCGATAAAAATAAAAAAGAACCAAACAGCTATTTGATCAATTCAATGACGTAACAGACATATTCATAGTTGTAATAAGTAAAATATTTTTTTATCGCAAAGTAGAAAAATGAAATAAATGAAGTCAATATTAATTTCGAAAAACTTTTGAGTGTTCGATATATTTTTCAATCCGCCTTTAGGCAATAAGCTTAATTGTATGCGAGAAAATGCAACGTATAATTTTCCGTGTGAAAAACATGGTGTGCCTAATCATCGTTTAACCTTGCGAATCTTTTAATGCGGAGCAGCACAAAATTTTCGCATAAATCCCTTTTCTTACCAAGGTCCAATGCAAATTACACAGCCCCACAAAAAAAATTGTGATACTCTGCTCAGCCGCGTGCGACACTTTTTGTTTTTGTTTTGTTTGTGGGGCTGTGTTATTGATGAATTTGTTGTCTTTATAGACTTGCATGCCTTGAATGCAGAAACTATAGCCGCAAATATTAAAGAATATGTAATTCGAATGGATATTGATCCTCAAATGTGTGTTGAACTAGATTTTGATCGATGTGTTACAATTCCATGTACGTAGGCGTAGGCAGCTATCGCCTAACTATGATAAAACGAACTTTCGTAGTTGAAAATGTTTTTATTAGGCTAAAAATATACCAAGAAGAATACGTATTTTGGAACATTTTATTACATTTTATAATATAAACTATTATAAACATTTTCGCATCACTTTGGCATTCAGAAGGAAGTATATCTAAAACAATACTTCATCAGCCTCTTTCGGGGTCGAGAAAACGTTGTCCTCTCAATTCTTGTATACCCGATAGTATATTAGATTTGTGTTTAATATGGATTTGTGTAACGTCCAGAATGAAAGTCCGTACGTCCGTCTGTCCGTCCCTATGAGCGCCTAGTGCTCAAAGACTATAAGAGCTAGAGCAACGACATTTGGTATCCAGACTTCTGTGATATGTCATTGTTACAAGTGTATTTCAAAACTCGCCCCTTCTGCCCCAACAAATTTTGAGAATTTATAATTATAATTTATAATACCTATTTGGAAATGGGTTCGGAGGCGACGACAGCCGCATGCTCTATAATTTTCAGTATTTTGGTATCGCTGTTCGTAAAAGGGACGAATTGATTTTTTTTCTAAACATTTTATCTGTTTCCTTTTTCTACTACTGCTTTTTATTCCGCTACATCGGTCTCTCTCTTCTCGGATAGTATATATCAAAATCTATATATAAGTCTCTGCACACTGAGCAGCTCCCGGTGGCGCGAAGGGAATTTTTGACACATGTAAAACCCCGATTCACACTGGCACCATCCACCATCCGTCAAAAAGCAGCTGATGAGCATAAAATAAAAAATTTTGATCTGAATTGTAAATTGTGCTATTTTATTGGCTATAATAAACTCCTTTTACTCTGTTCAAAATTGCAGCTCTGTTGCGAAGTTGGTGTGGCCTTGGCTGCTCGCAATTTGCTGAAATATCTCCCGCGTTGATTCCTGGTGGTCTTCCTGTAATTTCTGGATAGGAGCCTATTTGAATTCAATCATTTCCCGAACAATTCCCAGAAGATTTTTAAAACCTTATTATTAAGAACATTAGTTTGCCTACTGTAATAATCTAATATTTCGGCATTGCGGTTCTTCCCCAAAGTTAATGGTGGATGATCATTTCAATGGTGGTCAATGAAATGATGGTTAAAAAAAAAAATCGCTCAAAGAGCTCACAGGAATTTTTTTTCATATTCTCTGCAAATTGCAATGGCATTTTCGTCTGTCCATGGTAAGACATCAAATTCCATTCCATTTAAATTCTGTGCTATCGACCATTTTGAACTATTAATATCTACAGAGTAAAACCATTTACTCACATTTACATTTGTCACAAACGTTATAATTTATATTAAAACTTATTTTGATTATTTTTATTTATCAATTAATAGAAACGATGTGCCGGATCTAAGAGTACAAGGATAGACGCACCAAATTTTTTTCTTCGAAAAAAATGGCTAGATTTGCGCTAACATAACAGTTCATTCGAAATTTCTAGAAATTGCCATGCAAACACGTTCATTTTTTGTTGGTATCTGAAATAGACGCACTTCGTATTTGATAGTCTTGTAGTAAGAGCTTTGTTGATGAAATAATAACTACAAATTAAGAAATCAATTATTTTTAAGAAATTTATAATGAAAAAATGGGAAAATATGCTACGCACAGGGTCTATTGAATCGATATATTGCCAATCAGCTTAAGCGCAGCTCAAGAACGCTGAAAAACGTTTCAACTTTGACGGACCTGATGGTTTTCAAAACTTTTTCATGAGGAATCCGTATTTTCAAAGTTAAATGATCTGTTTGGACCAATCCCATGTGTTTTCCAACAAGATAATACCCCGAATTCTAACGCTCGAGTCAAAACGTTAATATCATAACTTTAGATCTTAACTTTATTGAAAATATATCGGACTATCTTGCGTGGAAAGTAAACGAAGGAGGAATACGAATATATGGATCTAAACCGTGTTACAGCACTGCTCCCAGCTCAACTAGAACTACAAGCTGGCTTATACATATATGTCTCTCGCCCTCATTGCATGTTTTGTTTTTAAGTTAGTCAGTTAGCAAATTCTAATGTCATATGGCCATAAGCAAAGACTGACTATCTATTATCTCAGGGGGAACGTTGTGAGCTGCTGCTGCGACCGATCTGATCCTATCTGATCCACATTCCGAAATCTGGTAGATATGGTCATTCTCTATGATTGTGATTGATTGATATGATTTAATCTGTTCGAATCTTCAAAATTGTGGATGCCACCGATTTTCGTCTTTTTTGGGGGCAGAAATAAAGAAAATACACTTGTAATAGTGAGATTTAACAGGAATGTACATAGATAACAAATTTGGTTCCTCTAGCTTTAATAGTCTCTAAGATCTGTAGATGGCACAAATTTCCGTCCTTGGCGTGGTCGGAAGGGGGTGGGGCGAAATTTTGAAATACTCCTATGAAGGTTCGATAGAACAGGAGTGTTGATACCAAAATTGGTCACTCTAGCTTTTATAGTCTCTAAAATCTAGGAACTCACTTTTAGCAATAGGCAGAGCCGACCATGAAATGTGTGTGTTAGAGAGAGACAAAGCGAGAGAAAATGAAATTGTTTTCTTCAGTCTGGCTATAATAATGGTTTAGATTCTGCAGTCAAAAAGATATAGTATTTATAGTATTTGGTTTTCCCGTATATTTAAAATTGTGGATGCCACAGATTTTCGTCCCTTGTGGGGGCGGAAGGGAGTGGGGCGATGTTTCGAAATATACTTGCAATAGTGACATATCACAGAAGTCTGGATACAAAATGTCGTTGCTCTAGCTATTATAGTCTTTGAACACAAGGTGCTTTATGGGGTCGGAAACGATTCCTTCTGGACGGTACGCACATGCACTTTCACCACAAATCTAATATAACCCTGTGCTCTTTTTGTGTACCGGGTATAAAAAGTGTGCTGCGCGGCTGACCAGAGTATCATATCCCTATGTATTTTGGGGCACTGAACACGAATATAAGGTCCGATTTGCTCCATCTCATAAGTTTTTTTTTTCTAACCTCAAAAAACCAATATGGTTGAAAAATGGTAGAAAAATGATATGGTATTTGAAAAATTCATCGGATTCGCTTGAAGCTCGTCAATCGGGTACTCTAGGGATTTCATACTGCATGGTGACAATGCGATGAAATAATTCCTATAGAAACGAAGAATTTGTCATTTTGTCTGTTTAGCTTTAGCTGTTTAATCTTCAGATGTTCCCGTTACTACTTGGTACTGCACACATTAGACAGATTGAGAAAATTTCATTATACAGACATGAGTATCTACTCACATATCAATGTATCATCTACTGCAGAATGGCACGTTATCTCACGAATTGCAGTCCAGTCATTAGCTATATTAAATATAACGTAAATTTGCTTCAATAAATTTGCAAATCAAGCCAATCTTGGTACGAAGTACAGTAGCTGCGGAGACATTAAGGACAATAGTCTTCAGAAAAGATTCAATCACCATCAAATAACCCAAGCATCAAGCAGATTGAGTCTCTGAGAGATTCGCAAAAGCAGCAGACTGGACATATGTATGTACCTCTAGTAAAACGTCGCAATCATAAAAACATTCAATCCAGCAACCATGTCTGTATATTATCGGTGTGATGGAAGACATATGTACATGGAAAACTGGATTTAAAAATATCTGGAGGAATGATTTTACCGTACGATCATGGTTTAAAAAAAAAGTAATTAGTTGTTGCAATTTCTTTAATTCTTTACAATCATTTACAAAATGCACTATGGCGAAGTCGCGTGTGTTTTGCTAGTTCATAATACGAGTAAGTGTTGCGTATTAGCATAGTTTTTAATAGTGTGTTACACAAACGTCAAGAAGGTTATCTAAAATATCATCGCTACGTCCGAACTCAGCGGTGCTGTGGAGGTAATGAAACGGCTCATCTATGCTATCCATTAGGGGTCGAAAATTTGTGTAGTCGTAATTAATAGTAATGCTACTTGGATGTACAGGACTGGAGATAGCAGATGTTATTAAAGTTCCATCTTGTTCTTCAAGAACATTTAAATTTGCTGATGTGGAAGCAAGAACTGGTGTCATATTAGACGTAATGTTTACGCTTTCATTAAACGGGGCAATATCGTCCTCTTTGTATATCTGATGAAATAGAGACTTGGATAGCATCGTTAGGATTCAAGAATATAGTAATATAGTAAGTCTTACCATGCTAGTACATCCTAATTTGTCGGTTATAAGGCAATTTAAACCATTTGACTCGTCGATAATCTCCGTAGTGCTAATAATAATTGTGCCAAGCTCATATTGTTGCTGATATATTTCCTCGTCAGCAATCGTTGTCATTGGTCCCATATTAGACCGAAATGAGGTGGTAAAAATGTCGTTTACCTGAGAACTAACACCAGTAGATAACGACAAGCCCAACTCGGTCAGTGTAAAAGATGACGACCCATGGTTCTTCGGTCCCTTAATTTCTACTAAGGCATTTGGTTGAGGCATTTTAGAACTTCTTCTGTAAGAATTTTGAATAGATTCCCCATGCTGTATTGGTGCCAGTTGATTATATTCGCCCGAAACGTTTTGAATATTGGGGTTAGTGGTGTTCCAGTGCGCCCAACTTCTTTTAGGTGTTTGATTTAATTTTTTATGTGACAGTTTTCGATTGCGTATGCGCTTCCTATCACATTTTTTTGGGTCTACTCCCAGTTCCCAGTAACCACCTTTCCCCTTTTCCTCGCGTTTTCGATTACGAAAGCAGTGGTGGAGCGACAAGTTGTGCCTAATTGAGTTCTAAATAACAATTTATATTATAATATTTTATAATCGAAATGAAACATGTCAGTTATAGAACAACTTACATTCCATCTTTTTCGCACCCGAAAAAATGCAAACTTTGACTCAATCCATGCACATATTTGTTGCAAAGTGACCCGTCCATTTACTAGCATTGCCATTCCAATTATATGTGAGTAGTTGAATGGTGGTTTTTCCGTCACGTCTGTTTCGTACTTTGATGCTAACTTTTCATATTCTGATAAGTCTCTAGAGAATCAATGAATGCAAAAAAAATTATGTATCTACTCGTACGAGGAGAGTATCGTATTACTTACCGTTTTATTTTGTTTATAAAGATTTCATATCGTTCTGCTGGAGTAGGGCGCTTCGGTAATGGTGACGGTGGTAGCATTTTGTATTGAGAAAGTATTTTCGACTTAGATACAGGATTTTTATTTACCGAGCTCTCTTCGTAGCTCTGTTTAATTTGCTCCTCCGATAGATTTTGAGTTCGGAAATGTATCCCCTGTGACATTACTTTCGAATTCGCATTTGTATTTATGTCGTCCTCGGTGATTGTGTCAATTGTTTTCGGCCATGTTAAGTTTTGGTTTCGCAAAAGCCAGTTGAGATTTGTTAACTCGCGCTCTTCATCAGAATCGTCTTGTTTTTGCACTTTAGTGTTGCCTTTCAACACAGCATTGCTCTTACGAAATGAGTTTTGATATGTTAACATTGTATACGGTAACAATGGACGTTGGTCCGTTAATCGAATCTACCTGTGGAAGCTATATAATATATAAAGTCGATCTTAAATAATACTATGCTACATACAATTTATAAAATTTAAAAACACAATAGCACACTTTGGCTCGCCGAACTTTATATACACTGGCAGTTCCACCACCAGTAAAAGACTATTTTCTTTAGCGTCTGATATTTTTTCATTCTTTTCGTTTCTATTAATTAAGATAACGAGAATATATCAGAATATTTTAGCACTTGGTTTGATATTTTGGATTTATGATTAAGAAATTAAGCAAGATCTGCCCTTGAGTAGCGTGGGATTATTAGCTGCCCCTTTTTTATGAAAAAAAGTAATGGTGTTAACAAAAAAAATTTTAATGTTCGGAAAAGGCTCGAATTAACTAAGATTGGTTAAAAAATATAATATCGGAATTTGAAAAATTCGTGCTGAGAGAAAAACACACAAATCGTGATATTATGTCCGGCGTATCCGATTTTCGACGAGGATTATTAAGATCAACTTCCTACATTTTTGGCGTTGAAGCAACATGCTTAGCCATTGCTTAGATTAGTTGCAATGAATTCAATCGATATTGCAAGATCAGTTAGATCAATATTACATGAAAACTTGGCCTTCAACCTGAATTTTTCTCGAATATAGGATAATTCGGCAATCGCCTCATGTCAATTGGTGCACTTTCGGTAAAGCAACTTTTGCATTATAATTAGAATTAGGGGAAACCAAACTCGAAATACCTCGGATTGTATCCGAGCTGTTACACATAGCCGCCTCAACAGATATTTATTCCCGGTACTCAGTAGTATACCACTGGATTCGTGTTCATTTACATTAGAAATATGTATGTAACAGCCAGAAGGAAGCGTTTCCCACCACAGAAAGTATACATATGTATGTATATATTCTTGATCATCATCAATACCTGAGTCGATATAGCCCTGTCTGTCTTCGAGTCCGTCTCGTTTAACTCCTAGTTTTCTCTCAGAGACTACACATTTTTCTAAATTTTTCCACGCTACTTTGATTGGTAGAAATCTTTGAGCTCCCGGTCGGGGAGGAGTGTCACATGACCACAATCACCATCCTACCCGCTTTAACCAAAAAATCGATCTGTTCCTTTTGCAAACCGAGATTACAAGGAAAGAGAGAGAGAGAGAAAGAGAGATAGAAAGCATGCAGCACTCATCGGTTCCAAAACCAATTCTGGCGTTCACGTATAAAATTAGTTTTGTCGCGGCACGTGTGCCAAGACTTAAAACGTCCTGACTGGTTGGAGGCTAAAATTGGATAAAAATAAAAGGGCCAGCCCTCGCATATATGTACATATCTATTTTGGAGTACTTTGTACCATTTTATAATTCCGTTTGCAAGTGTACACAAATAGAAGGGAGCTTTGGGACGCTGACGTTAGTAGTTCTACGATTTTTTGCCAATCAGTTCGAAACATTAAATAAAAAAAAAAACGATTATGATGAAAATACGCGAAAAAACCAGAACTACACTTTTACACAATTTGGAGTAAATTAAATATTCATTCAAATGGCTTCTACGAATGGACTAAGTTATTTTTATAATATTATTTTCCAATTGCATAGAATATATTGTTTTTCGTCCAATATATTGTGTCCAGTTTGATTGGCAATTTCAAATAATTGCAACGACTCTATTATTTTTTCCATGTACCGGCAACAATGTTATGATTGGCTCTCGAGAACTTCTATGTAACAACATGATTGGGGCCAAGGGAGAACTTGCGATGAGTAAGTTAATAGGGGTGAAGAATTCACTGCGCCATTTTGAAAATAGACTTCCGATTGTATTGGTAAGTTTTTATGGGCTACCTGCGAGTGAGTCATAAAAGTACAGCGGACGTAATTTTTCTTTGGTCCAAATAGCTACATAATGTCAAATAAGGCAGTAAGACTGTTATATCCACTTCTTGATTTGTTGCAAAATCATATTAATTGGCTAACACATAATTTTGCTGAAGATCCAATATATATCTATGTATCTATGTATATAATATATATAGTACATAGACATATAAGTAATATCTTGATTCACAAAACAGTATGTACGACTTTGGTGAGTGGATAACATACCACTTACTTTTGTGTTTATTCAATACAATTCTTTTTTTTGTATCAAGTACTTTTAACGGCTGCGACGAATTTATTTTATTTAACCGTTTCAGATGGACTGCTAGAACTGTACTGCATTGATGGTCGTTGCCTTTGCACCTGTATGTCTGCTTAACGGTCCACGACCAACCACCTTTTTTCCACTGTATTGGGAAAAATTGGTAGGTGTTATAGCTCGGCCACATATATAGGGGCAAAGTGGACTGTAGCTCAGGTGTTTCCTTGCAGCAGAACTCAGTTCAGTTTTAATACCCCAGTCTCGACATAGCGAGTTGTACGTTATACCGCAGTCTAACGTCTCCGAGTGCTTAAACTCTGCCGACAATTACCGACCGACCATCGACCAACGTCCACGAACTATTTGATTACCTAAAGGTCGCAGCAGCAACCCCGTTTTCACCCCATTTGTGCCGGACATAGAAGGCTAGGGTACCACTACGGCTAACACTTGTCAACCACCAGTTTTATCATCGTCACTTTTGGTAGGTAGTATTTACATATGTTGATTTAGGGGACGGGCACATTCCCTGTATAGCCGATTCAATTCATATATGTATGTATGTATATCTTTAGGAACCATTGGTTATGTAATTTCTGTTCACAGGTTCTCCTTCGTTTGCAAAAATAATCCATTGTAATAGCGACCAAATTGGTATAGTTATACACCAATGAAAAACATACAAAATGTGTGAATTCAAGTAAAACATGTTGGACACCCAGAATTCTTAGTTCTTTTAAATGCTCAGATCCTATTACTTAACAATGAATAAAAGAAATCCATGGCATTTTATATATGACCACGTCACCTAATCGAAAACATGTTATAACGCAAATATATTCACAAATAAAGGACATTTATTACAAAATAGCTTTTATTTTGTTATACAAATGATTTTGATAATATAATATCGAATAATCACATTAATGAATAATTATAGCCGAATAATTCAATATTCAAAAGGTTGTCGATTTTTAGGCATTAGATACAAATGATAAAATATACTTATTATAATACATCGCTTATTACAAAAAGGTTTTGACATACTTATTTAAAAAACTGGCACAGATTATATTCGGGTACAAAGAATTCTATATTTCTATACACAAATATATATTAGAAAGTTATAAAAATTGTTTACCCGTTTTTGTACTCTTGTATTTAAATTATATTTTAGTTAATGTGTGCCTAGTTTATACCCTAGTCCACTGACAGCAATTTAAAAACTTAAGAACTAAATATAAATACTCTTAGAGTACAAAAATATATTAAGTTCCTGTATTTCTGATTAATTATATATAATATATATATATTTAGCAACGTTCCACTAGCAGACATAGTAGTAAATACTCGTAATATATTGTAGTTTGTTTTCATAAATGCAACTGGCAAATGTCTATAGGATTTCGATTGATTATAATTTTCGCAAAAGTCGCATCCTTATCAGTATGATCAGTATCAGTCGATATTCTTGTTATTGCACACAATATACACTTTGAAATTACCAAGATCGAATAAAATCGATTCGTTATCATGTACCATAAGATTTGTTTGCTCTTCACTGATACCTTAAATTTATTTTTTTTTCCATCCCTGTTTCGTCGGTTGGGCAGGAGGTGGTGGGATGAAAATTATATTATAGAGCTGACATCATATGCTTTTAAAGGTGTCGTTCAATCTTGATGTTTCAGCATTTACAGAGAATCAAGTCCAGAAAATTCACTCGGTATCTATAACAGTTAACACACATTAATTATTGATTTAAAATATTTTGTAATTTGACAGACCTTCTCTGGCTTATATAGATGCGTATGTGGCAACAAAAAGGTTGAGCCCAAATCTCTTTCAGCCATTGTATTTAATTCCTAGATTTAATTTTATTCAATTTGTGTTTTCATAGTAATTCCACCATTAAATTTGTGATAAAAAAAATTCACCTCAATTGTATGGTTTTTGATCTGCGAGTCTAATTTGAGAAGAGCGGGGATAGTTACAGCTTCAACTGTTGTTTCGTCAAATGACCGTACGCCATTTGATCTAATTGAGATCATATAAAAATGAAATTATTATGATAATATAATTATGGCTTATCTATGGTATCTATTTTAATTCATATTTTAGACACCAAAAAGGGTTTTTTATCAATATATTTAATATTTCCCGACCAAGTGTGGTTTGGCGTTTGACGGTTTGATTGTTCCTATATTTATTTTACTTACTCAGAATCTAGTTTTACATTCTGTTGGGATTTTATATCAACAGTCATGGTTGATACGACTTTGCCAGGTGCGGCGCAGGAATCGTTTACAATAGCAGAGACTTCATAGCCAGCAGAAACTAATGCACTAGTGGGTGTGATGCGTTCTTGAGCGGAATGTTCAATTTTTTTTAAAAGCTGCTTTGACCTATCGATAAAAACAGATCGATATTCCAAGCCCTCCTTTTTATGCAAATCTCCTTGTGTTTCTTTTTTTTCCAAGGTTAGATTATTATTCAGTTGAAAATTTTTTAAAATATACGGTTGGCGGAATTTAGCACGTGGTATCATAAAGGTGAGAGAACGATCGGCTTGGTCTGTATCAGCAACACCTTCATCCATGTTATATGATGGAATGTCGTGTTCTTCAATTGCTTCACTTAAATCAAGTACGTCATACATATTCCGTATTGAAGTAACTTTGCATTTGTTGGCTAAATTTGTTTTTGTAAGCACTTCCACTTTCGATTTCATTTTCGACCTTTTCACCCCATGTCCTTTCTAAATTTAGCGAACGAGACTATAAGTATATGCGAATTATTTTAATGTGCTACCTTACTTTACCTTATGCAAAATAGATCCTGAGCTATAACTTGATTCGCTATTGGAATCATTTATATATTCCACAATTCGAGATTTTCCAGATGATGTCAGCATACTAGGGTGTATATTTGATGCTGCAATAAACATGGAACTTGCGGAAGCGCCCTGATTCTTACGCTTTGTGTGTATAATTAATATGCAAAACAGGAGCAAAATAAACAGAACTGTGCCGATGGCAATCAGACAGATCAAAAGTATCTTAAGATTTAGTTGGCATGTCGTTCCTGCATACCAAGGAAAGCACTGGCATACCGTAGTTAACTTCAGAACTTTATCCAGCGGCGTTCTAATACATTTGCCGTGGTAATTGCACTTTTCACAGCCAATTATGTTATCTGAGCATTTTCTACCTGGATAAATGGCGTTATCAGATATATCTACATAACCATCCCGGCAACTGCATGTGTAACTGCCACCCAAGTTAAAGCATTGAGCATTGGTCGAACAGTCATGAAAATTATCGTGAAGACATTCGTCGAAATCTGCGTAAATCAAAACAGATAGCAGACACAAATATTATCTGGTAATCGCAAAATTATCACCTTTGAATTCTAATGAATTAATTCCTTCTTTTGAGGTATATAACTCAGTGCCTCCAATACTAAAGTTGCTTTGCCGCAAATATTTTTTAAAAACGGATGACAGTCGCTTTTGATCGCTGTTCTCAGACAACTGAAATGTAGAGAAATTATTAAAATTTTAAGGTAACATATCCGCGTAGTAGTCAATTACTAGATTAAAATAATCGATTCATTACCGAAACATTCAGCTTTTACCAAAAACGGCCAAATTATTAAAAGCTTATTGTTAAGCTTATTTGAGTTTCCTATAGTGCATAGTCATACATACCATATTGTGCGTTTTTAGTTTTCTCGTATCTTCAATATTGTGGATGCCACAGATTTTCGTTCTTTGCGGGGGCGGAAGGGGGTTGGGCGAAATTTTGAAATACACGTGTTATACTGAGATCTAACAGGAGTGTGGATATCAAATTTGGTTACTCTAGCTTTTATAGTCTCTGAGATCTAGGAACTCACTTTTATCAATAGGCAAAGCCGACCCTGAAACATGTGTGTTAGAGAGAAACAGAGCGAGAGAAAATGAAATTGTTTTCTTCATTCTGGCTATAATAATAATACGATCTGGATTAGATTCTGCAGTCTAAACGATATAGTATTTCTTTATATCTTTAAAATTGTGAATGCTCTGAGATCTAGGAACTCACTTTTATCAATAGGCAAAGCCGACCCTGAAACATGTGTGTTAGAGAGAAACAGAGCGAGAGAAAATGAAATTGTTTTCTTCATTCTGGCTATAATAATAATACGATCTGGATTAGATTCTGCAGTCTAAACGATATAGTATTTCTTTATATCTTTAAAATTGTGAATGCCATAGATTTTCGTCCTTTGTGGGGGCGGAAGGGAGTGGGGCGATGTTGGAAATATACTTGTAATAGTGACATATCACAGAAGTCTGGATACAAAATGTCGTTGCTCTAGCTCTTATAGTCTTTGAGCACTAGGTGCTCATAGGGACTTACAGACAGACATTGCTCAATCGACTCGGCTATTGATGCTGATCAAGAATATATATGTATATTTATGGGGTCGGAAACGATTCCTTCTGGACGTTTCACACATCCATTTTCACCACAAATAAAATATATACCCCTAAACTCATTTTGAGTATCGGGTATATTAAAGGCACAAGCTAAACTGCCCTGGTAATGATGTCAAATCTATATTATTGCATCAAATGGTAATATATGTTTTTGGCGTGAAAACGAAGAAATCTTGCGGAATGTGAAAACGGGGGCACCAATTTATGTGATTTCAAAAGTAAATAGGAAAGAGAAAACCGGATCCTGGCTGAATACAATAAAATCAATATTAAAGATAATACAGTCCGCTAGTTCGTAACTTGGCGATATCTGTCCGCCCACAAAACCAAATTTTCTAATTCTTTATTTCAACTTTGATATCCTTCGAGTATTGTCATCAGATCTTTGAGACGGACAGGCTACATAAAGTATGTACAAGACTTTTAACTAGAGCTATATCAATTTTAGCTTAAGCTTAACTGGCATAGGAACAATTGGTCGAAAACTCACCTGCAGCAAGAATTTACTAATGATATTATCTTTCTTATTAGCAGCAATGCTAATTAATTGCACTCCATGATAAACGTCCCGAAAGTCCGATTGCATAATCATGCGATCGACGGCGTCTAGTATAATTCCACTGAGGTGACGATATTCGTTTGACACATTACTTTTAAGCCCATCGTTGAACTTGAGGATGTAGTTTCCAACCCGGAGAGTTTCCATTTGCATTTCGTAGGTATATGTGGCTGTAATGTCAAAAGTCGTTATAAATCGAGGTAACATACAAAAATTAGTGTTTGAAACATACGCTTGCAAGGTCGGTCCGGAAATATGCGCCCAAAACTTGGTCGACACGCACAATGGCTTACAGATTCATCTCCATTACTAATAATAACGCATATTTCATTTTTTTTTGACTTGCACACTGGATTGCAAGCGCTAGCTGAGCTTAATTTTGTTATATGCTTAGTTTTTGAAGGTGTATCAATCAGTACACCACTTAGATGTATACTTCTGGAATCGATAGGGGAATACATTTCCTCATCCCGAAATGGATGAGTTAATAAAATGGGCGAATTATGCCTTTGGTCAATAACAGACGTACTTTTGGAGATTGCTATTAGCGTTAGACTGTTAATGGAATCTTTAGTCGTAATCTTTTGATACAAATCTGGCCTCGTGTTGATAACAGAGCTTATGTTTATGATTTCTGGTTTAAATCCATTTATTATTTGTGACGGTTTCTTTGTTAACGGATTTGAAAACGTAGGCTTTATCTGTGGCAAGCTTGAAGTATATAAATTCTGTGAATTTCGTGCGATATCGGACTGCATTGCCCCTTTTTTTCTGGACATCGCTACTAATGTATCCGGTTCTTTTGAACTCTTTCGGGTAGGAAAAATCGCCAAAGATGATTTAGACTTAGTTCCATTAAATACGGATGGGTAGGATATTTTCGTATCGTTGAGAATATGCGTGTTGGCAGGAATAAATGCACTGATCTGTATGCCTTTGTCTGGATGCCTTGATCGAAACTGCTTTTTAGTGTCGTTAACCTGGACAATTTTTTGTATATCTTGCTTCATAGATATGGAATAAATTGAGCTCCAGCCACTGACACTTATTGTGTTCCTGGTAGGTATTAGAGTGGCTTTTAAAATCTCCGATGAGTTCAATGGAATCATATTCGAGATTAACGACACACCTGCACCTAGAGATTCTTTTGATTGGATTTTTTTTGTTATCGTAGGGATTAATAATGAAACATTATCTGCTGTAGAGAATAATATTTTCATGGGCTCCAGAATAGATTTTTTCATAGCAGTAAAACTAGAAGGCAGACGATTTGTTAATTCACTTGTTCTTTTTAAAATAGTTTGAAAATCGTGGTGTACTATTTCAGACGGTTCAAGTCTTTTTATATCGTGTTTTATCGGCTTGAAGGAACTATTTTCGGAACGGTTGATTTGAGAATTTATTGTATCTAAGTTAGTACCGAGAGTTTGAGTGTCAAAATGTTGGAATCTTGCCGACAATAGTGTTGAAGAAATTTTGAGTGAATTTGCATTAGTGGCCATCGCCATTTTAGAATACTTTACAGTGGTATTTATTAGAATTGAAGTTTTATAAAAATGTGCCCTTGGATTTGAATGTTCCAATAGAGTCTTTGTAGTATCAGCGAATACACTCATTTTATGCGTTGCGCTAGAAATATGATTAATCGAAATTGGGACTTGCGTTAGAGGTGTCCTTTTAGACTTTTCAAACTCAAATTCAGACTTAATTAAAGTTCCCAAATGAAAATGTTCTCCTGTTGCTAAAAGGATCTTATCAATGTTGCTAGTAATCATTTTCGAATATTGTGAGCTGTGAGGAGCTGTTATAATTGGTTGACTTTGTTGCATTATTAACCACAAGCTTAAAGAGTGTTTATTTAGTGTTTCCGGATTGTTCTCATTGTAGAATTGAAGAGAATAGTTCGAGTAATCAGCTTTTTGATCATGTTCTAAGGATAAACCAATGTCGCCCAGAGGGAACCTTTGTGCCGCTTTTGTTAGATTGCGGTACAAAATATTCGTATATCCGCCGTTAGATTCATATATTTTAGAAAGTTCATTCGCATTACTTGTCGAAGGCGTGAAGTTGTTTGTAAAAAGGTTTTTGTAATTTTCTGACGCGCTGCTTTGACCAATTGCCAAATTCGATAGGTTCTGATTTCGTTGTTTAAATTTATTGTCACTTGAATCCGTACTGGAGTGTTTATCTTGTACAAGAACTACTCTATTAATTTGGGGGGATACTCTTACATCTACTTTAGCTTCATTAACCGGTATCTTGATTAAAGGCATTGACAAGTGAACAATGCGTCCCCTAATGGCAGCAGCATGCGGAAAATGTTCAACTTCTTTTTTAAATGTAAGTGGAGGTGCATGCATATTGACTGTGTGACTAAGCATCTCCTTTTTTAGATTAACTTGATGAAGTGCCGAATATGTAGAAGCAGATAATGGCGATCTGTATGTCCCAGTCGGGTTTAATGGGTATACCAGAGAATGCGGAATTGGAGAATAATGATAGGTGTTTGATAAAGCCAAATAACTAGTAATGGCAGGCAGTCTAGTACTAAATATTTCTGGTATTCGCATTATCTCTAATATTTCATTACTGTTCAGCTCCGAATTCAAGCTGGCGATTTTTTCTGAAGCATAATAATTATCACTCGGATACTTGTTCTGCTCAATAGGTAGCGGGTACTTAATTCGACTTTGCGTTAGTCGTGATTGGGCAAGCAATGGGGTCGGATACAGCAGATACTGCAAATTGTTTTCAAATTTACTCATTTGTTGGTTATATATAGGCGGAGGCGGCTTTAATATGCTTCCATACCCGTCAAGAGTTCCCCGATTCAAGTTAACGGAATCTAGGCGATCTTGATTAGTCTTAGGGGGATGTAAAAATGGAATACTGGGGTATAATGTATTCGAACGGATTAATTGGCGATAAAACTTAGGCACTAATAAGTTGTTTCTCACTTCGAGTAAGTTGTGTCGCATAGCAGTATCCCCTAAAGAAACCTTCGTACTAGGTCTGCCAACTATAACATCAGCGTTGGCTGTTATAACCTCTCCCGGACGTATAGGGATACCCGTTCTAAGCAAAGAGCTTCCATAAGCTTCCTTCGTATCTTCTGCGCGTCGTGGAAACGAAATATTGTTCACGGTTTGTTGGTTTAAATGGTGTTTAGGTATAATTTTAATCTTCGCTTTACTGACCGTATTAATATCAACGGACACGTCCATATTCCCGTTGCCATCATAAGAATATCCGCTTGTTAAGTAATCTTTCTCAGTTTCTTGCAGGGGTATATACATTGGTCCCTCGACAGTTCTAGTTATAATCTGATTTCCATTCGTTGTTTCTACATCATTTTTAAGATTTCCTTGATTATAAGACTGCCTGCTTTGATCGGCGCTATGCTTATTTGCAATATTTTTCTTAATTAAGTCGGCCATAACATTTAGCATTGGCCCAAATCTTTCTAAAGTCAAAGGTCCAATAATTTGCGATACAGTTTGCATTAATGGATTGGTTTTTATATATGTTTCTGGATATACATCAACATTTTCTGTTTCCGATAAACTAAGATCTTCTTCAACTTGAGGATACATCTGGATGTTTTCCGTTGATTTGACGGAGGTTTTATTATTTATGGAAGATTTTTTTGTTGCGATAACTTTAAGTTTTTGACCATGGTTAATTTTCTCTATGCTGATCGGTGAATTATTAATATCATTTACTAAGCTCAGTTTCGATTGAATGTCTTCTAAAATAGATTTCTGACTTGTGTGCAATTTGGTCAGGGTTTCCACAGCGGTTATTTGCATGGTTTGGCCATCTAGCAAAGTAGCCATCGTCACAATAGCATTGCGATCATTTTTTCCCTTTTTCCGCATGAGTTCTGTGCTAAACATGGAGACTAATTCTGGCTTAAGCAACGAACTAGCCACTGTGTTTGTGACGATATTTTTTATTACTTGAGTATGAAGCTTGGCATTGACATACTCGTGCTTAGTGTGTAATGTGGGATCATTGTCATACACCGTCATGGGTATCGGATCTTGCAAACTAGTTCTAGTTATACTGTTATTTAACAAAGTGGTATAAAAAGTTAACGTAGTTAAGAAAGTTTTTGTGGCGTATATGTGTACAGCGCTCTGTTCTTCTTTCCATATCAATGCAGTGGGAAGATCAGTGTTTAGGACTCCGTTAAGAAACAACCCAGTTTTTTTATAATTATTCATCTTTGTTTTAGGAAATGTCAGCGAGATGGGTGTTGGCAGAGACTCTGTAATATCTACCTGAGTAAGAACATTTTCATTAGTCATCTTTTTCAGGTCATCTTTCACTCTTTTCGTTAAGAAGACTTTACTGTTATAAGTGTTTGTATATTCCTTTGATGGATGCAGAATAACAATATGTTTATGTGCTCCACTGATTGTATTTATATAGGTAGTCTTAGGTGTGATAACTATAGGTATCTGTTGTGTCTTATCCTTTGGAAGAGTATTCACAAAATGAAAAGGGGTTGGTAATATTCCCACAACTAACTCGGTCGTCTAACACGATTAGGAAAGTATACATATATATATATATATATATATATAAATTATTTATTTACTTAATTCAAATAACTCAAATACTTACTTTTGAGAAAGTTAAATCTTTTACCAATAGGGCGCTGTCAAGTAAGTAGTTTCGCTCTTCTGTATGGCTATTTGATATAACCGTTTTTTTTTTTTCCACACTGGTGCTTCCATTCTCAACATAAGTCGTGCGATATGTGTAGGTAGTGAGGCATATTTTTGTAATGATTTGATTATCATTGATCGGCATAGTAAATTTCTCCTATCGCATAAAAATATTTTAGTATGATTGATATGTTAAATGATAATTGATGATTGTTTGTTACCATACCTGTTTTTCTAAGGGTATCGTCAAAATCATTTGGTTTTTTAGTGTACTCGGAGCAAGAGTAAGAGGCTTATGATTAGAATGCGATGCAGGTATCGTACGGCTTCGAATATTTGATAATATCTGCGATGTTATCCCTTCTTGTTCTACATACTTTCCTTTTTCACTTGCAATTATCAATTCAACTCCATTTGACATTATGTGAGTGGCCAGATTATATCTCGCCTCGTCTAATGTCTTCTCCGATACAGAGCCATCTAATATGTCGACTCGATTTTCATAGCTTAATATGTTCCTAGCCTCAAACGTTTCAGAGCTGATGTATTCTTTAAATTGCGTAAAGTTATTTTTATCATTGTTTCCTGCATATATTCCAAAACATGTTTAATTAGAAGCATTTATTTTGGAAGATTACGTGTCCGTATTTGTACATATTTACATATGTATATTTATAAAATTACAATAAGCAGTTAAACATCAAAGTTTCCCTTGCAGATGCCAAGAATTGCATCTATATTTGTATTTATTTATGCACTCGTAATAGAAATAAAATTTGGGTACAGCACCAAAATATATCTCCAAAAATTGGATAAGACCTATTTTCCGCTAAGTGGCTACATAAAGCCTATAAAAAAACTATATAAACCATATAAAATGTAGGGTGACGAAAATATCAGTTTCAGGTAAATATAAGTACATGAAGAGGTATTTGTTAGTTCATTTATCTTTATTAAGTCAAAATAGTTTTATTTGCAAAAAACTGTATAAATACTTGAAAAATAACACTAGCTAGTATGGAAATTTATTTTCATGGATTATTACAAATGTATGTAATAATGTCTATAAATGTATATGTATATATGTACATTTTTATAAAGTAATATTAATAGACCCATTATAGATAATCTGATATAAATGTACGTAAACTTATATTTAGACATACTATTATACTCATATGTACAGTAAACATAATTTATTACTAAATTAAAAGTATGAAATTTATTCATATAATGTAAATATTTATACTTATTTTATTTATATTTATTTCATTTACATTTCTATACAACATAATTTTGTGATAATTAGCAAAAGCTACCTCATATCGTTATGGTTTATCAAATTCAGAAATTTTAATTTAAATTAACAATCTTCAAAAGGGGTAATTTTTTATTTAGTTTCCCTGTCATTAACTCCAGAACAGGAGACACCAAATCCAAAGTAAATCCTCAGGAAGAAGCCCTGTTGTGTAAATTAAAGTGGCTCTTGAAATATTAACAAATCTTTTTTTCCTTAGGATTGAACTTCGTATTTTTTATTTCATTTTAATCGTAAGTCTAGACACAAAAAATTACAAAAATAACAAAAGACAAATTTAATAAAGTATGTACATTTGCTTATATACGAGTGTGTAGCCAATAAATGTTATATTGTGGGCATAACTGAAAAATTAGTAGGTCGGCTGGATGAGATTGTCAGTGTGATATCGAAGGTTTTGGTAGTAACTTGTGTAAATGTAGAGTGCGTCTGTACTTCGTGTTGGTTGTTTTGTACGCGATCAACGACGTATGTAAAAGTGCGTGTAATTACTTCCGTTCTTGTTGTGGTAATAGTCGATAGATCATACACGTCCTTGGGGTTCTTTCTTTCTGGATGAGCTAATAGAATTGGCTGGACCTGGTCATAATTTTTGTCTTGATTTCCCAGTGATTTATACCCTATATGTTTGGTAAAAATATTTTCTTTCTGCGATTTTCCCTTCCTAACGGAAGTCAGTGAAACATCCCCTAGAACAATTTGGGGATTGCCTGTTTTTTCAAAGGCAAATGTTTGTTTATCTGGTATTCTACGCTTCAATATTACAACCCGAAAATTCTTTGGAAAAATAGTCGGGGATGTATACGACTGTGGAAGAGGACTGCCTTTTGCATTTGTTGTTTTATTGACTAGTGATTGCAATTCTTCCAACGGTTTACGGCGAACAAGTACCTTTCGTAAGTAGCGATTAGTCACATTTTTAAATGTATCAGAATTAATGATGGATAAGCTGGTATGAGTTTCACGTCTTGTTCTATGATTGTTCATTTTTATGCCATCTAAGGAAATGGAAATGGAAGGAAGTTTCTGGGGATGAACTATTACAGAATATAGGTTTCTGACCTGCAACTGTAGCGGGGACTGTAGCTCAGTGAGGTCCTTTACGCTAAAAAATTAAAATTACTTTTATCAATCGCCACAGAATCTGTTTTCGAGGCCAGAATCATCGATTGACTGGAAGACTTAGAGTACCAAAGGTCTACGTCACCTACAATGCTCTCTAATGATGCAGTTCGACCCTTTACATTGTCACCGAAAACCTCTGTTGAGCCAACCCCATGATATATATCAAAAAATGTGTCAAGAGTGTTTTTATCGAGCTGAGGGTGATCTTGTTTTGGTGATATAAATAATATGACATTTCGACTCTCTTCGGTGTCGTACATATCATTAACTTCCTTCTCTCCCAAAGTTACCGTTTGTCGTATTTGTGAATGAGCTTGTCTCTTTTGCAAGGCAGCCGAATGATCGTAGCCATTCTGCACGGTTGACAACACAGTGCTAAATTCCCCGGGCCTACGGCCCGATACGTAGAGTGTCACGACGCTAGTGTCCTCCAGCGGATTATCCAATTTCTGTTGCTTACTTCGTTTGTGTCCCTTGCTCGTCTTTCGGGACTTCTTGCGATTGATTTTCGTAGTCTGCATTTCACTGTTAATTGGCACAATCTCATCGTCAATATCATCAACTTGTGTTGCTGTCCGGGCAGCGTCGTCCAAATCCTGCAGGTTCTCACTCAAAAGTAATTGTGGGGATTGAGTATGGGATAAGCCCTGAGGCACCGAAAATGGCTCTTGCTGTTGCTGAAGAAGCAACTGCTGCAACAATAAACTGTTTACCTGCGCTGCAGGTCCATGTGACTTTACATTTTGAGGAATTATAGGTGTGTTCACTATAGTATCTACACTGTATTCCGTAGCTGTTATAGTTTGTGCGGTAGTATCGTAGACAGTAGTCAAAATCTTTTTCCCCTGAAATGTCAGTGGGAGTATAGTAGACTTTCCATCGAAGATGGTAGTTACATATGTGGAGGTGTGAGTGCGGTACTCGGTGACTGGCTCAACTGATGTGGACACTATAGCTGATATCGCACTTTGTTGCTGTCCAAGCGCACCAATTAAAGGATTGGCCGGCAAATTAAGATTGCCCAAAAGCAACTGAGAAAGCAATATATTCGCGAGTGGAGCGTTAGCAGATATTTGAGGTTGTACTGTCGATACAAGATGCTCTACAGAGTACACGGTAGACGGAAGTATGTGGGAGAAGGATGTCTTTCGCCCGCGGATAGTGGTAGGTGTAAAAGTTACTGTTGTTGTTAGAGAGTCATGCAACAGATATCTCGTTAGCTCTGTAACTCCTGCATTGTTAATACTGGATTCTTCTCGCGTAAGATATTTCGAAGTTTGGCCGTTCGTTCCCAAAATCTCCGTGTATTGATTTGGTCCGAGCACCTCGGTGCTGGTCTTCGCAGTCACTATATTCTTATATTCTGTTATTTGGCCATTTATAACAGGCACCGTGACCTCGGCTGGTATAAGATGAGTAACCGTGATAGTTTGACTACCCATTTCTATTATCTGCAAATCTGGAACATATTCATTTCTATTTCGACCACGCACAGACCCTCTTCCTCTATTTAAACCATTTGAGTTTCCATTTCTGGATCGAGACGTACCTACTAACCGCCCGTTGTCAGCATTATTGTTTACATTAGGACCACTGTAGCTCTTTAGTCTACGACTGGTGCCAGTTCCAGTACCTATAGTGCGTCTTATAGAAGGACTTCCGGTTGATGGTTGACGTCGAAAATTTGATGGTGTGCCTGAACGTTTAGCGCCATTTAAAGTTGCATCTTTCTCTCTTAGGGTAAACTGGGTTCGCGGCGTAGTTGGCCTTGTTGGACGAATAGTTCGATGATTTGCCACAGCGCTGGAACTTGGCTGTGATTTCTGACTATGTGCCTGTTGGCCACGTGGTGAAGGAAACCTAGACCCGAATCGAGAATTGGTTTTAACGCGAGAACTCGCTGTGGTTTCATTTAAATCGTCAGTATTTGAAATGCTTGGGTCTTCCAGTGGAGACATCGTTGATAAGTTTGGTCGCCGAAATCTAAATCGGCTCCTATTAAAAGCATCTGCTTGCCGTCGCACCCGGGAAAGACTTTTACCTTTTTGCGATTTAGAATTCGACCGTCTGCTACGATTGACTTCGTCTAATACGTCATCTTCCCCATCATCATCGGCATCATCGTCATCATCATATTCGGAAATATTTTCGGATTCATTTTCGTTTTTCTTTATTTCTTTCTGATTTTCATCTCTTTGCTGCGTCTGGAAAAGCCCACGGGGCGGAAAGAGACTATTTTGTGGCCTGGAACGTGCCTGAAGGCTAGAAATTGTTGGCCTCTGAAAACTGCGAGTTCGGGGCTTAGCAGTCGTTGTGGTGGTAGTGGTAGTAGATGTTGTCTTTGCTCGGGCTGACAATGGGTTTCTTCTAAGTGAAATGACAGCAGAGCTGTTGACACTCGAACGTGGCACAGGTGCAAACCCGCTTGGCCTATTAATCGGTCGTCGGAGTCGCAACAATGGGTTCTGATTGCGTCTTGTGCTTTCTTCTTCGTCACTAATCTGTACCAATTCGTCAGTGGAGTTGTCATCTTCAACACTGCTATCTGAACTAAATTCTTTTGATACTGTTTTTGTTGTCGTCCGCTCATTCGCTGATGATCCAGAGACAGTTGGCTTAACGCGAAATTTTGAATTTCCAACCAATATTCCGGAAGCACGAAAACCTGGGCTGTTAGATGGACGATACGAAGCATTTATATTTTGTTTTCTGCTAGTTACAGTTTGTGTCGGACGTGAAGAAGATGCAAATCGATTTCTGGGGGGTACGAATGCAGCATTTGACTGGGGGCTGACGCCCAGTTCGTTTAGTACAGAGCTACTCGATGACTTTATCGGCCGGCCAAAAGTGCGTCGGGACGACTGTGGGAATCCCAATTCATTTTGATTTATTGGTGCGTTTGAAATAACGCCTCGTCTTGATGAGCTATATCTGCCGGATGTTTTTAGGGCAGGAGTTGCCGTAATGGTTGGTGTTATATCTGACCTTGTTATAATAGTAGCACTACTTGGACTTAATGTTTTTTGTTTTGGAGCGAAATTAGGCCTATTTCGTGAAGCAAATGGTCTTATCACGGGGGCAAATGTGCGCTTTGATGTTTGAGATGGGTCCAAAGCTTTCGAGCCATTTTCATCATCGATATCTCCTGTTGTAGTTGGTTCGTCTTCTTGCTCGATATTAGAATCCGCGTTGACATGCAAATTTCCTGTTTGTGATGGCATAGCCGATACTATGACAGACGTTGGCAACAGCGCTGCATCTTCAGTTTTTTTCTCAAAGAGAAAGCTAGACGTACTTTCAATAATCTGCGCGTATCGATTATCTATTACAGTTCCAATGACCTTAGACTGGTATAAAGTAGTTGTACCGTTTCCGATTCGTGTACCTTCAATAAGCCGTACCAGACCAGTCTTGAACGGCTTAGAGCTAGATAAGCTATCATCGTTTAATATCATTATAGCTAAACTAGACTTTTTCATTTCATCAACGTGCAAGCTTGATGTACTACTTGTTATTTCTATTTCAATTCCCTCGCTGTCAATCGCTGATGCCACTTCAGTTGTAAAATACAATGTACTTACTTCGTCCGCATCAACAATATGTTTATAGTCAAACAAAACCAATGCAGATCTACTGTTTATTATATTATTTAGACTTGTTGTCAAGAGTTCGCTTGGCTGGGCTATCGCTGGTGTTTTCGATATTGTTTCTGCCGTCGATGTTGTAACATCCGTCGGTGTCACCACGTTAGTCACTGTTTCAAAACGTGATTTTGTAATTGTCTCATTAACTTCATATGATGTGGTATAGTACGTATATGTGGTGTAATAAGTGGTTAAGTCAGATCGTAAGCTCGTATTAGTCATCCCGGAAGTGACAATACTTTCCGTATCTGTATCCGTTATGCGAAGATGCTGGTTACCATCGTCGCTCGGATCTAGGGAGCTATAAGAATTAGCTGCCGTCCGTAATGTTTCGTCCTCAGGAATCGACGCATGATTTGTCGGTTCAATTACATTTGATAATGTTTCTTCTCTGCTTAGTGTAGTAATCTCACCATCTTTAGCTAGCTTAGTCCAGTAGGTAAATGTCGTAAAATAGGTAACAGGGAAGGTTGCTTCCTCTGCGCCAAACATTTTTGTAGGTTTTAGCGTTTCAGTTGCAACGTTAGTAACTGTTTCAAGGCGACTGATAACGTTTATTACATCACCGACATACATAGTTGTGTAGAAGGTAAACGTCGTAAAGCTTGTTTGAAGAAGCAGAGTAGCTGATGGTATTATCTCATCGGTGTTACTTTCCGAACTCACTTGGTCGTCCACCGGATCTTTTTGGTTTAAAATGACTTGCTGGTTTCCATTAACGCTAATTGACCGCACATCCATGACTAAGGTCACATGTTCTTCCTTTTCGACTCGATCTTCTGCTGGTTTAAATTTAACCTGACTTGACGCTTGCAAGTTTTGGGCAGCGTTTTTTGTATCTAAGTAAGTTGGAGTATCTGTAAGGTAATTATTTAACGAATTTTTGGTTATATAATTTGTCACGACCTCAGTTCGAGACATTATATCAGTGTCATTATCGGCGAATATCGATGTATAATAAGTGTAGGTAGTGAATAATGTGTTTGTATACTTAGAGTCATTAAGATATTCAGTTTGTTGTTTATTCTTACTTTCATCAACTACGCTTTTTTCTTCCCTTTCTGTCTGTAATAAGCTTACAATCTCTTGCGGAATTGTATACTTGGAAGCCAAAGCTGAAGCTTTACTTTCCGTTTGTTGAGACATACTTGCAGTATCCAATCCAAACCCTCCAAACGTAGCGATAGTATCTGTTGGTTTTGTTATGGTATCTACTTCTGTACCAGCTGTAGAGGAAATAAGATTGGTGACAATCTCCGTATGGCTTGATACAGTAGTAGAAGTGCCTTGAAAGAAAGTCGTCAGGTATGTATAGGTTGTGTACAGAGTCTTATAAATTAAATCAACCTCATTAGAACCATTATCAGTATCGTAATCATCATCTTCACTGTCATATTCATTATCAGTCGTTACATCGAAGTCCACCGTTTCATGGACTGTGGATTCCTCTATCTTGTTTGATAACTCTGTAGATATTAATTCTGTGGCTGCATCTTCACTAACTACGCTCAAAAATTCTATTTCGGGCTTTTCCAGCTGCTGTACCTGTGTGGCCTGTATGCAATAGTATTTGGTAGTCTGGACAATATCGTATGCGGAGAGTGGGTTTTCATCGCTTGATGCACTTGACGGATCTTCTTTCCCAGTATTTAGATATCCCAATGACTTTGTCAATTGTGTTAGGAACACTTGAGATGTTGTGTGATCACATGTTTCTGAGATGGTGTTGTTATTATCATTTGTTGGCAAGGGTGGTAACGGCTCAGTAAGGGGATTATCGTACAAATCTTCGGTCAAGTTTTCAGTCGCTGCCTCGGTTTTTGGAGTATTTTCTTGGTCTTCTTCAATTGATACAGTTGTTTCGTCTGCGTCTTCAGAGTTTTCAGTAATTGTTTCGTGATCAATTTGATCTGTTGATGACTGAACTGGATGTGACACGCCCGTAGGAACTACAAAGTTGGCAAAAGGATCGTCATCAATAAAAACGGTTGTTGCTCCTCCATGTACTTGAGGGCTTGATTCATCTAAAAGGGTATCATCGCTCTTTACTATGGCCGTGCTCTGTACTGTGTTTTTATGGTCAGCTATAGATTCTAATAGATCGCCAGTATTCATATGAATTATTTCTGTTGTTGTAGATTGACTTGACAAAGCCTGTACGGAAGTAAAATTGGTATCATAATTCAGATTTGGTGCTATCTTTATTTCTGGAGTCGAAAACTGATTTGAATTGTTAGTCTCATCAACTATATTTGATGAATCTGATCGGATTCTTGTCGTGTCTAATCCAAAGTTCCATTGATTTATAGCAGTGGATAAAATCGGCATTTGTTCGGAAATCATTGCATCGGAAACATTTGAAGACTCGGTTCTTAAAGTAGGCTTTCCTTTAATAGACGTAACGTGGCCATAGTTTTGACTGCTTTGAATAGTGCTCGGTGAAAAAACAATCACGCTATCACCAACTATCGTTGTGAAATCCGCAAAGCCGTAGTAGGTTACTGTTGCCAACATTCGTTTGGTCGCTGGCAGAGCTGTTGCTTTCGAAAGAGAATTTTCTATCTTTGCTCCACTTTGTTGTTGCTGTTGATAGTAAGCTTTCGGAAACCGCCCATCATCCATATTGGCTGCAGAAGACTCAGATGAATCTCTATCAGTTATTTTGACTCCTGCGATTGGCTGGAAAACACTATGTTGAAAATAATTTTTAACTGTGATGGTTGGCAAATATCCACCAGACAAAACATTCTCGGCAGAAAAGTTCTTCGCTCTGCCCTCAGCTTTTAAGTCAGATTGTAATATTGCTGTATTGCTAGATATTTGTATTAATTGCAGAGAAGAGGAAGATATATTGTCCAGATATGACTCCGCTTCCATTGTTTGCAAAACTGTGCCTCTTGCATTTTGTAAGTTCACAAAGTCTGTGTTTCCTACAAATTCACCTCGATGAACTCCTATATTATCGTCAATGTCCTGCCAGTCTGGGGCATCAGCATTAAATAGATCGTTGTGATTCTGTAGAAACGAACGGGTTTTTAAATAATCACCACCACCACCCACCCAACTTGTAACAACAGAAGGAACGACACGGTCGTTCTCATAGACAACCCTTGAACTTTTTTTTAGGTACTGGGCATAGATGCGACCGTTATTTAATGTAGTACCCACAACCTGGGTGGCGAATTCGGTTGTAATTCCATCCTGAATAAATGTTCGCGCTGTTGAAGTCAACAGTCCAACCTCTGGACGCACTGTTAAGAACCGTCCATGACTATCCCCCACTCTCCCAGCCCCATTATTCACAAAGAGCACAGTAGTAACATCTTAATGTAAAAATACATAAATATACATATATAGGTAGAGAGATTGCGTGAAAGAAATGAGTCAAAATCATTTTCAGCAAGAGTAAGAGAAAGGAGCGAGATTACCAAATATTTACATTATACGGAACATAAATATACATTTAAATTTACATTTACAGATGCAATCATTTGGTGCAGATAAGAATTGAAAGGTTAGGTAATTAGTTCATATTTCCAGAATGTACAGCCCAAAAAGATGGTGAAATCATATACATAGAAAGATATAAAGAAAAGGAATAAGAAATGTAAGTACATATTTTGTCACTAGATAAGTATGTAGATAAGTCTACGCTTATTTAAATTGTGAATTTTGTCTTATTCCAAATTGGTTTACAAACAGTAAAATCATAATTAAGAATAGGGATATTTTGTAGAGTTGATGTACTTAGGTACATATGTATGTATCCCAGTAACTTAGAGCACAGTCCTACGTTCATCCTTCTACGTACTAACAAATCTTACCATCAGCGCCCACTACCGGCAATGTTGGTGTTGGATTCACTACGTAAGGTTCATCTGAAATTATAGGTTTTCAGACTAAATTAAATCAGATAATTATTTCATTTCGTAACATATCCTATTGATGTAATCTAAACAATTTAAACGGGACCTTATTGTGTGATACATGAGATGCGAATGTATTTATGTACATATGTAGCTTTTAACAACAATATGATTATTCCCAAAAGCTCTATCAAATTGCCGCAGCGCGAACAGGTTCAAATAAAACTAAACTAGTTTTGGTTTCTTTTGTATATTTTATAAAGTCTGGCTTTAAAAAATAAATACATAATAAAAAAAAATACAAAAGATAGGCAGAAAGAAGACATCAAGTCTATTGTCTGTATATGGAATGGAGCAGTTTTCTATCTGGCTTTCAGTGAGTTAAGGCTTGGGTGTATCGAATGAGATACACATATAAATGAAAGTATGGAGAGATGTATTTAGGTTTTCATGTATTTCCATGCATACATATTTACTTGTTCATATGTATTTTACACTGCTTCAGACGGCAAAAGAAAAGAAAGTGGCAGAAAAACTGTAAATGAATGTATGTAAGCTGCAATGATGTCAAGCAGACCCATCTCCCTTTTCCACCAGTCTCCTATCTTAATTTCAAATCAACTTTCAGCAAAGCCACTCGGAGCGATGGCGATCGCCATGCACATCTGTGGTATCTACCACTATTTCGCGGGCATAAGGCCAACAGGTATTTTCGAAAGCTTTTACTGAGAGTCACATATGCAGTATGTGTGTGTGTACATTCAGCAGGCGAAGACCTGTCTGCATTTTGAGCACCATAACAACATCACATCCGTATTTACCTTTAAGAGGATGCTATTGCTATCGCATAACTAGTTTTTTTTAAGATCAGAAAAAAAAGCCAGGTCAATCTATCATCTACATACATATGTACATAAATAGCTGAGACTTTACTCGTGGTAGTTAGATTGCTGATTATCACACACAAAAAACTTTGGCTGTAGAAATTTGATTTTTGTCTGACTCACCAACAGTTTGGGCAGCTCCAAATTGTACTATAGACAAGAAAAACGTGGCTAACAAAGTTAGGCTCAGTATTTTATCTTTTGATAATATGTGAAATTTCTGAGAAATGGAATCAGGTTGCTTCGCGTACATATTGGTGCTGCAGTCAGGTTTCAATGTGTTGAAGTTATCCTCGAAGTATTTGACCATCCGTGTTATACGTGGTTGTAGCATTTTTAACTCCCTTAAAACAGAGCAGACAAGGAAATATACACTGATGAGTCTAATACATACAGATATGCATGTTTGCAACGGCACAAAGTTGATAGTTTAATCTTTATTTCGTCGCTTTATACTTATAGCATTTATATATTATATAAGCACATACACATGCATATACATACATATATGTATATATTATTATTTTCAAGTTTTTTTTTTATTTTAAAAAAAGGTTTAAAGATATTAATCGATCGTTAGAATTGTTTTTTACGGCACACTGCAAAAAATTATTGCGCTTTAGTACCGTGTACATACAAATTTGTACATATATATTTGTAACATATGTATAGGTACATATGTAAACCGCTTACTCTTTCAAGGAACACGCACGACCATTCATGCAAACGAAAGCCAGGTAACTGAATAACCCACCATAACCACTGCGCTGGCGGTTCAAATCAAACCCACGAAGAGCTTGAGCGTGGTACGATCGCATTTGCAAAGGTAGTTTGGCTAGTTTATTCGGGCCAAGCTGTAAAAATTCAACTCCCATCAGCTCCACAGCTTTTCACATGAAAGAGCTTACTGTCCGTCAACTTGGACTTACTGGCAGTCTCACCCACGGCATCATAAAAAACTGAACAGGCAGCCATGGTCTTCAATTTATTATTAATCGAATTGTTCGTAACTGTCGAAAAGTATTTCTTGTACCACGTAATGATTGACAGCTTCGTTGATACGAGACAGTCTTTAAATCTAAATAAACTTAACATTATTTAACGGATATCTGGAAAGTGTGTCCTATTTTCTAATGCAATATTTATTCGAAATAATAATTACTACACCCAGTTAAATATTGCAGAAATTCATACAAAGGAATAAATATTATCTCATCATACCAAACTTACCAACGTACATACAATAAAGCTAGTGTGTAGTTTTATATGAGAAATTCTCTTTGCCCGTAGCTCTTGTAGTCTTCGAGATGTTTGTTAATACTGAGACAGATGACAAAATGAACTACGAAAAAACGATATATGAAGACCAGATTATACACAAATAAACTATGAAATAAATTCATAACGATTTTATTCAATCAATCGAAGCGTATCTAAATCCATTCAATCATCTATTGCTTATTATAAAACAAATAGAATTATCTGGTAATGTGCAATTTCCGGCCGAAATCAGAGGTAGTATATATTACACACTATATATATAGCATCGCCGTGCACACTTTCAAAACTTCGATTATAAGAACAAACTCTTCTTGTATGAAGATGATGATATGACAAAAAAGTAACTTAATTTCCAACTACGAACAAAACTATAATTAGTCACCTATATAATATATGTATTCCTATTTTAATTTTTGTATTCAAACACAAGTATTTACAAAGAGGGATGATTAACTATTCAGATTTGTACAATTTCTTATGCGAATGGACTTAAATGTTACTGTTCTACAGAAGGAGTAGATGGAGGTTGTTTTATATTATGTGCATTATTATCCGACGAATCAAAAAATCCTAGGAAGGTGTTGTGTTGCGTATCAAGACTTTGCTCAGCGCCCAAGCTAACATATGTAGGTTGTCCTCCTTCCCAATCAGTGGATTCGTGGGGCTCGTATACTTCAGTTATAGGTGGCCAGTTCTCATTTGCTGTAATATTATACTCCAGGCGCATGTGTTGTTGCTTAGACGTAGTCCAGCTTTGATCGCGCCGCACTTGATATTTTTTGAATACTAGGTATTCAACAAGAAAAGACTCCACAAACAAATGGACAACAAAAGCTGCAGCTCCGTAAATAAGCATTACATATCGAAAACTCATAACTGGTGGCACAATTAGCTGGAAAAAATTGGCTACCCATTCGCTAGGGTAAACAACTAAATAGACTATGATGCAACAGTTTAAAATAAATGTTAAGCACAGTGGCCAATTAGACCACAAGGGTTTCCGATAAGGAGCACCTTTCGAAAATACAAAAGCGAGTATAATATACTGAAAACTGGAAATTGCAAACATGGTGTAGTTCTCATAGCAACCTAGGTGATCCTCATCTGATGATTGAAACGGCTGAAACCAAGGCTGTTGCTGCAGCTGAAACCAACCTAGATCATCGGGGTGATATTTAAATATTATTTGAAGACTGAAGTAACAGTTTGTATTACTCACCAGCTACCTGAAACACAGTCACTACGACCAGATGCAATAAGAGGGACGCCAATGGCGTGGGAGATATCAGCGAACTAAGCGGGACCTGTTTTACTAGGTGGCCATCAAAAGCTTCAGTTTTACCAAAAAAAAAGGCAAATATTGATATCAAGCCTAGGTCAACATAAAGATATTGTTTGTCTGTTAGATTCGAGTCGATCGAGTACAGGATCATCACTGATATAAACTGTACCAGCGAATATGCTGCCATATATTTAAAAATGCCAAACGATGTGACCAATGCGGCGCGACCCTCCTTTATAACATTTGGCACAGCCGCAATCGTGGGATTACGCGAAGTGAATGGGGAGGCAATGGACGACTCTGTCTCACTTAACGAAATACCAGCATGTGCCACCTTCAGTGCACCGCAATCATTGGCACCATCGCCACACATGGCCACGCAGTAGTCTAATTTTTGAAGTTCCATAACCAATGCCTGCTTTTGCTCGGGCGACATACGGGCGTAAATAGCTCCACGCGTTAAAAGTATTCCCAGCTCCTCAGGAAACTGTTCCTTCACAATTTGCCACGTCTTACCATCCATTGCAAATATATAATGGCGCCGCCAATTATCGTCTTGTGCGAATTCCGTTCCAAGCTCCACGTCAACTTCTATAGCCTCGTTGTGAGTCCATGTGTCCACGGTCTTTACACTAGCCAAGCTATCACTGTTGGGAAAAATGCTTTCAGCATAACTAGTGTTTGACCCATTAGCTAACGAATTTGTAGACATCAACCGGTAAAGGCTTGGAGGACAATTGCCACTTAAGTTACTCTCTTGTTTTACAGTGTTTCCATTGCAGTTAGATTTCCATTGAGATGGGGCACAGTTCTTGCTTCCCAAGTCCAAAGTGTACTGAAGTTTGTATTGTCTATGTCGATAATGTTCGGACGTGCTTTTCGTATCACCTGGACTAGTATGACTACTGTGAGCATGCGTATTTGTAATCGCAGCCAAATCAACTGGATCGGCGTGCACCGTAATTACCGCCTGTGCAGGAGATACTATACCACAATCCCTTGCAACACTCGTCGCAGTTAAAATATTATCTCCAGTTACCATTATTGTCCTTATTTTGGCAGCGTTTAGTGCATGGATTACCGTTGTAGTATCGGGCTTGAGTCGATTCTCTAGGATAACAAAACCAAGAAACTCCAAATTAAGTTCAACTTCCTCGCGGGAAATGCGCTGAACTTTTGTATAATTAATCTTGGGGGCGAGGGCCTTGAATGCCAAGGCTATAATTCGGTAGCCCTTTTTGGCAAATGTCGACAACTGTTGGGAGTAGTTATCTGGTAGGCTCTGCGGTCTACACAGCTGTTGTAACATTTCCGGAGAGCCTTTACAGTATACATTAAATCCTTGTGCACTGAGACAACGAGTGATGACCGACATTCTCTGAAGACTTGAGGTAAATGGGAATTCTCGTACAATCCCATGATCAAAGCTTTTCTGGGTCTGCGACAGGCCAACATTAGCTAACAAATCATCTACTGATGACTGCCGTTGTAACCCAGTTTTAATATGTGACGAAGTATCGGAGGAAAAGTCTTTTGGTTGGCGCAGTATTGTTGGATAAATAAGGCCATATTTCTCATTATCCGGTATATCTTTAGAATCCTCTAGTATCCACCCCGTTGACTGGAACATTTTAAGATCCAGTGGGTCACCCATCATCGTACCATTCAGTACAGTAATAGAATGACATGTTGCCATGCCAAAAAGAAAGTGATCATATGGCAGACGATTCACGTTCTTCAAGGGTATTTGAAATTGGTTAGTGGACGACTTAGGGACCACCCCCCACATATCCAGCCCATCCTCCGTTAAGGTACCAGTCTGAAATTAGTAAAAGAAGTAAGAATAAGAAATAATTTTTTTCAGAACCAACTTCCTATGTAAGAATTACCCTAAATGGAATTAAATGGCAAACCTTATCAAAACAACAGCAATTTATGCTTCCTGCCACGTTAATAGACCGTGGAGAGATACAAAAGATGTCGTTAACCTTCAAACGCTTCTGGGCATAAAAGCGACCGACCGTCATTGCAGCTGGTAGGGCGGGAGGTACAACAATAGTAATTAGGTCCAGAGATTCAACTGCTATTTTTACCGGATCCGTTCCCCGTATTATCTGAAAATCATTTACACATGGTTAAAAATAATTAAATTATACAAGAATAATAAAAATTTGTATACTAATGTACCTTTGTTATTAGTGTGTAAATAAATCCAACACAAGCAATTAATGCCAAGAACTGGATAAATTTATATGAATCTTGTTCAAACTTATAGTCCACAGGTGGAGGATAAAGAATGGATCGTATTAGTTCTCCCTTTGCTGTTATGTTACCGGTGTTAATCACGAATGCCAATACTTTCTTAGATCCAATATATCGCGTTTGAATAACCTTTGTTCCGCAAAAGAGTATATGCCTGGCATGCTCTTTCTTATCAAAAATCATATCACGTTTCGGAGGTAACGGAGTTTTTGTTACCGGAACACTCTCGCCCGTTAGCATCGATTCATCTAGAATACAGTTGCCTGATAATAATACTGCATCACACTGCATTGTACATCCTGATGAAGGTATTTCAATTATATCACCCGGTACAAGAGTTTGTGTTGGAAACTCTTTGGAAACACCCTTAGAATCCAAAACGAAAGCATTCCCAGTGTTGTGCACCGTTTTTTGAAGTACATCTTGATTCTAGGAGACAGGAATTTTATAGTATTATGGAATTAAATAAGAAAAGAAAGCAACTCTTACAGATCGATCTTTTCTGTGTTGTATTTATGATATAGTAATCAGATTTGGTTTCTGATTTATTGATCATATATCTTTCACAACTGCTAGTAATTTCTATCTACACGGATATTCTGTCTCTCTATTAAGATCTCGTTTATATAACTGTATATGTATGTTAATAGGTTAATGGGTTCGGAGATGCTATTTAACAAAATATGACCATCATCAGAGAAGGTACTATGAACTACCCCGACTCTCGCAATGAAATTCTAATATTTGCAATGAAACTTTCATTAGCATCACTTGCACCAAAAATAAATACAGTATTTTTCGGTTTATAAAATTTGTTATTTTGTGAATTTAAAAAAAGCTTTTGATCAAGATTATTTATTCCCGGGTCGGTCAGTTGTGAGCACTATTTTATTACTTTAGATCTTCTGTTCTCATATCTCCATGTGTTTTTGCGAACAGACGGACATTATACATATACACTTTTGGTTTTACTTAAAAGACAATGTGAAAATTGTAAAAATGTAAGTAACCGGCTCACTTACCTTTTTCGTTTGCAAAATGGACATTGTTATTCCAAAGATAGACATTAAGAGAATAACACAAGCATAATAGTAGTAGTCGTAAGTAAACCACAGGACAACCGAGAATATTTGAAACACATAGAAGGGGTTGAGCACTTCCAGGAATAATAACGTTTTGACATCTCGCAATGGCACAGTTATCTCATTTTCGCCAAAAACTATGCGCCTGGATAGCTGCTCATACACCGTTAAGCCACGCTGCTGATGGTAGTATGAACAAGGAACATTAAGGTCGAGGCCATTCACTTTATTAAAGCAATTCAGTGTGCTGTCCCACGCATATACCAATTGCTTGCACCGGAATATCCGAATGGACGAACAATCTGGGTAAATAGAATTGGCAAACCTTTATTTAATATCCTCAGATATGAATTATAAATATTTAAAAGAAATATGTAAGTATGTTTATTAATTTTTGCATAAACTAATGCAAGTATGTATAATCTCTTATGATGCATTTTAAATGTATTAGTTGTCTACCATACCACATACTTTTGAACTGAGCTGATGTAAAATGCACTGAGATTTGCAAATTATTATCATCGACTTCACTACTTTTTGGATATCCCTTTAGCAATAAGGACCTGAAATTGAATAATATTTAATGAAGCATTATTACAGCATCGACAATCCCAATAAATGTGCCCTTAACTTACTTCAGTTGATTTGTATTTAAAACGCGAACGCTCTTCACATGATACAGCTTGTGCTTGCCTTGATAGTCCTCTACTATCAATACCTGATCTGCCTCATCTAGAGGGCACTGATGGCAGGTGGCGAACAAATACCAATGGCGCCACCAGTGTAACACGAGTCGCAGTAGACCTCCAGTTAGAACAATGCAGACCCAGCAAAGAATACTGCGCACATAACACCGTCGATATCCGGATATGTTCATCTGGTCTTCCTGGTCTTGATTTAATATACCATCGCATGGTTTAGGATCTAAGAAAAAAAAAACAAACATAGTCTTAAATGCTTGCTAAATTTTCAATGGTTTCCATTGCCACTAGTTATGACGTTATGTCGTTCACCTTATTTTCTTTGTTATATTCCATACCTCTTAACACGTTGCAGTTCATCGTCAGTTTCGCCAACAATGTGCCCGTGACAACCACAAAAACAGAATAGTTCGAAGCCTATTTCAGCGTCTGCGATAATCCATAGCCCTGAACTGTTGTGATTGAGTTTCGTGAATCATAACATCCAGATATTCGAATTAAGCGACTTCTACAGATTCATCAAGGTGTACATACATAAAACTACACTAGGTTATGTATGCATATACGTATGCACATATGTATATACACACATACATATGTAGTACGTATAAGAAACCTCGTGGTCCAGGCTTCTGAAAGGTCTTTCGGAAAATTCTTTTAAAGCGTATACGTATGTTCATTCGCACGTAAATGTGACAAGGTCCCATAAAACAGCAGACTTCATATTTTAAAATTGTATATTTGTATGTACAATAAAGATCGTTGTCTTAACACCGGAATGCAAATGCAAATTTAACACCAAATTGACCCAAATAATAAAGAAGCAAATTTTACGTTGTGTTTGGTCAAACAGGTAAAGCTACTCGAAGGGACGGATCAACACAGTGAGATATTACGGTACCACGGTTAGCTATTAGCTTCGGGAGTTAAAGGCGACACGCGTAATCGAAAAGCTAACAGCCAATATGTAGATAAAAGCAATATGATAAGAAGCACGATCGTCTCGGTTGCTATTGTTTATTTGCCAAGAGAGTACGAGTCCGCCTGGCTTGCGGGCTTTCTAGATTCGTTTATTTGTTTATAGAGCTTTAATTATACATATGCATGTATGTATGTACATACATATATGAATATGTAGGTTTTCACAGCCGTACGAACATTTTCTTGATACTCCTCAATAGCTTTGAAAGTGAGACGGCGCATTTATGAGCAAGTTGTGTGCCAAACATAAAACAATAAACCCCCACCGATGTCCAAAGTGTGTGCATTTAAGGTTTTTATTTTAAAGATCGCAAAATGTACAATCATAGGTATTATAGGTCGTCACGATTCGAAATTATCTTTTGCCTCGATTCTCTTATTCCTGACTGGTAATTACTGCCGAAAAATTATTATTATTTGATCATGCATATTCACCGACACCACAACGGGCAACAGCAAGTGTCAATAAATACACAAGTACTATATATGTATGTATACGTATGTATACATACGTACATATGTACATTGATTAGAATTTGTGTATGACATACTTTTTGTACAACTATACCAGCATACCGATGTACGTATGTATATGGTGTGTAAATACATATACACTAACATATGTAAGTATGCAGAAATCTCTGAGCCGCGGCAGTACTCAGACGGTATATGTATATGTGATTTATGAAATTTTCATCAAATAATATTTTATACATACATACATATGTGCTTAATTAACGTAAGCGCCGGAATTGCTTTCGCAGCCCATGAGTGCAGCATGCTTTTTCTCTCTCTGTCATTTGGTGTCTTTGTTCACAAAAGCGACGAATTAATTTGTTGTTTAATGCGTGTAGAGATCCCCCACGATCTCTCTTTTAATTTTCTTACATTTCTCTTTAGTAATGGGAGAACATAGTTGGTTCTAATGTTAATTCTTGCTCTTTGTTTATCCTCTTTCCACCTAATGACCTATTTGATTATAATTAAAGAACATTTTATCTGTTTTCTTTGTTTTTATGGCGCTTCATTTAGCTCTCTCACGCGTCTCAATACAATACCAGCCGTTATATGCAGCCTTGGAACCTTGCATAGTTTTTTCTGGCTAAATCCGATTTGATGCAGATGTAGAAATCGGGAAGAAATACTCATTCTCTATTATTTTCGGTTTTCTCGTTTCTTCGAAATTGTTGTCACCAGAGACTTGCACCCAGTATGGAAGTCTGCACACAAAATTAGCTTGATCGTCAAACAAGACGAGTGGAAGACGGACGGAAGGACAGACATGCTGACATATTTTTATACCCGATACTCAAAATGAGTATTGGGGTATATTAGATTTGTGGTGATAATGGATGTGTGTAACGTCCAGAAGGAATCGTTTCCGACCCCATAAAGTATATATTCTTGATCAGCATCAATAGCCGAGTCCATTGAGCCCTGTCTGTCTGTCCGTCTGTCCGTCCGTCCGGCTGTCCGTCCCTATCAGCGCCTAGTGCTCAAAGACTATAAGAGCTAGAGCAACGACATTTTATATCCGGACTTCTGTGATATGTCACTGTTACGAGAATATTTCAAAACTTTGCCCCGCCCACTTTCGCCCATACAAAGGACGAAAATCTTTGGCGTCCACAATATTGAAGATAGGAGAAAACTAAAAACGCACAATCATAGAGAATGATGGTATCTATGAGATTGCTGAATCTGGATTAGATCGAAACATATTTATAGCCAAGCGGAACAAATTAATTTGCAGTGGCTACGCAGCGCCCGACGACACGCACACGCTCAATGTCGCTCAATGTGGCCATACTGACTATGTATCGGGTATAAATGTAGAGTTGCGGTCGCCGCAGCAACTCACAACGTTCCCCCTCGTTTTTAATAAAATGAGAAAACAATTATTTTGTATTTTTGAAAAACAAAAAATATGAAGTGATGATTATACTATATTATCAAAAGCTTTCTGACGGAGAGAACCTTCCGTGTAGTCCAGGATGGTGCAGCTTCTTTGACGAAGACCATCAAGGTAGGAGTACCGCAAGGCAGCATGCTTGTACCGACATGCCAAATCCCTCTACGGTCCGAAGGCAAACAGGGCAGACCCTTAAGGTGGCAACATTTGCTGACGACACAGCAGAACTCTCGAGGGCTAGCTGTGTCTATGCCACAGACAATCTACAACAATGCCTCAAGCTGTTTGAAAACTGGGCCTGCCGATGGAACATCTGCACTGAAGAAGGGGCTCTAGCCCTGGTGTCTTCCTGCTTGGGAACATACCTCGGAGTTACACTGGATAGAAGCTTAACTTTCGACAGTCGCATCCGTAGCGTGAGGACAAGTTGTTGGATAAGGCCCAGTAAATGTTCTGACTACTTAAACAAATCAACAAGCTTAGTTTGAAAAACAATTCATGATCTACAAAGCCATACTACCTGGAAGTACGGCATTCAGGTGTATGGGATTGCCGGCAAGACTAACCTTGCGAGGATCATGACAGTCCAGAGTGAATTTCTGAGTAGGATCTCTGGAGCTGAGTGGTATATCCGTAACCGGGATATTGCCAAGGGCTTTAACGTACCACTCGTTGGTGATGTTATCAACAATCAAGCGAAGAGCCATATTTGTAAGCTTAGACGCCACCCTAATATACTGGCGAGGCGTCTTGCGAGAACCAGATACCGGCGTATACACTCAGTTGACCTGCCCAACAGAATAATCTAAGAAAAGTTCTACCCCAGAAATCCTGTGCAGATAATTGAACCAAATATTATCCGCATCCGAATTCTTCGACACGCATTCTTGATGACACATTTTTTTTGTTATATTCATTTTAATTTTTTTAAATCATTGTAATTTTTCCTGTATATGTTGCTCTAGCAGTAACAGCAAACAACATAATTTGTATCAGTGATATTATTTTATAATAAAAAATACAAAATAAAATCATAATAAAAAATAATATATATATATAATTTTAAAGAACCAAATCTAGAGTGCGTGTGGGAGAGACAGAAAACGAGTCTGAGCGTGTCCTCAGGCGCTGCTTAGCCACTGCAAATTTATTTGTTCATTTTGGTTATAAAAGTTATCCGATCTAATCCAGATTCGGCAATGTGGTAGATATGGTCATTCTCTATAATTGTAGGTTTTTAATTTTCTCGTATCTTCAAAGTTGTGGATGCCACAGATTTTCGCCCTTTGTGGGGGCGGAAGGGGGCGTGGCGAAGTTTTCAAATACACTTGCAACAGTGACATATCACAGAAGTCTGGATACAAAATGTCGTTGCTCTAGCTCTTATAGTCTTTGAGCACTAGACGCTCATAGGGATGGACAGACAGACATGACTCAATCGACTCGGCTATTGATGCGGATCAAGAATATATATACTTTATGGGGTCGGAAACGCTTACTTCCGGGCGTTACACACATTTAATTTCCCCACAAATCGAATATACCCTTATACTCATTTTGAGTAAACGCTTGTGTATTTTTAAATCAAAGTTAACGAAATGCCAATTTATTAAATAGGTCAACTATCAAACAATTTTATGAATAAATTCTAGACAGAATTATATGGAAATATTTTGTTTACTGACTTTCAATGTTTTTGGCATGGTGGCATACATATTATGCTAATTTGGTTCTTTTAGTGAATCAAAATTGAATCTTTGATTTTTTTTTTACCCAGATTTGTATTCTATAAATAGATACAAACTCACAGTGACTACAGTTACAGGATCGGATTAACAATTTAGACCAGTATTGAAATAATACTTATATGTATATAAAATTATAAACAAAAAAGGCAACAGTACTTTTTCTTCTTAAAGACATGTGTAACATGCGCATATCGGTGTACATACCATCTACAAGTCGATGAGAGTCCTTCATATCAAATTCCTCAACCCCCGGATCAAAGGGAGGTTCGTTTTTTGTATCGCAAGTGAGCACTTTCTGATCTCGATCGGGCTGACTTCGTTGAAGGACGGAAAATAGCTTTGATGGCGTGTTAAGGCAGCTATGAACTACGGTATTGTTATTATCAACGGTATTTATTCTATCGGCATGTCCATGTCCTCTTTGTTCCCTTCTCTCAGGCTGCAAGAATGCTGCTTCCACATCTTGCGGTTGTGTGGGTGAATGCCACCAATTGAGCTTTAAGCGATTGTTTTTGGTAGCAATTCGTGAAAAGGGATAGTATTCCTCTGTATCCAAGTCTTTCTCTCTTGAGTTTACAATAGCGTTTGATAAAGATTGCAACTGCAACGTCTCTGGACGAGAGGCTGCGATGTCTGCGCCTTCACTTTGACAAACAGACATGTTCTAAGCGAGGAAAGAACTCAGAAAATCAGAACATCATTAACAATGCGCCGATATTATATGTTCATATGTTTGGGTTTTTATTTATTACGTAGGGAGCCGAATAGACCATTCCTGTAGATTCTGTGGAAATATTCGTGGCTGTAATGTCAGCTACGAAACTCTTGTGTTTCACAAACAATCACTACGATGCAACAAGACGAAATCGTTGAGAATCTGACTGCGGGCATTTTCGTTTGTCTGCTAACTTAAACTGGCCACTGGAAAAGGAAAGAATAGACGTAGATGTTGGATCGCCAATTACTTAGGTCTGAAAACTTGAATCGCGATTTCTTGCGATATCTTTGTCAGATAGCCAACTGAATATGTTATCTACGTGAACATGTGAGCTTAGATGGATGGGTATACGCTGCTAGGCTGCTACCCCAAATCCTCTTTAATCATCCAAAGTTTGAGATGGCGCTGGACCGATACTCGTACACTCCTCCGCTTCCCACACGCTTCTCAAAGAAGAACTGCTTTACGTAATCCTTCTGCAAAATGTCTAAGTTTATCCTTGTCCCACTGGGCAGGATGCTGACGCCAATCCACCAAAAAACCGACTTTGACACCGCTGACAGTCCGTAGCACCGTTTGAGCAGCTTTCTCTTTAGTACCCAATTTTTCTCCTGCTGCTTCTTTGTGTCACCTTTAACTGAATTCATTACGATATCAAAATCCCAGGGATAAACGTATTGTGTTGACTGTCCCAAGTAGGTGAGAGTGCCAAATATCGAAATCAAGGCTAGTGTCGTCTAGACTTTGGTGCACTATTTTAAACAAATTTTCCACAGTTTTGACATGTAGAAAAAAGGATTTGGTTAGCTTTTATAAATGATTTTGAAAGCTCAATAGTGTTCACATGCCACTTTGGGAAAATAAGTTCTTTGCGGTCCGTTTTTTGGGCGACGGTAGAGGCTGCTTCAGGTTCAACAGATAACAGACAATCGAATATACAGTTTAAACTCATTTCTCGTCGAACAGCGTTCAATGGCATATTCATAACGCCGCATGCAAAAGCATGCCTATGTGAGTGTAAATCTAGAACGACTCCAAATTGTGTCAACGGATCTGTAAAGAAAAAAAATTAATTTTTTGTTTACTCTAATTTAGATTAATTCCATTCCTGACTTAGAATCAATACTTATACAGCTATGTTCCGGATATCGCAAATTTTTGTGTTTGAACTTGAAAAATTCATACGAATAAAAATTTAATAGTGTTTCATTCCCAAAATATTTAAGGAACAGACAACTCTGTAACCCATGCCAACTATTAATATCGATCAATGGGAATTCGAAATTTGTTGTTTTGGTTTATTTATTTGATTCACGCAAAAATTTTTGTTTAGAAATATATGTATTAAATATTTAAAGATATACGAAAATAAATCTGAAAATTTAAAAAAAAAACTTAAAACATCAGCACATTTTTTTTAATTTTTTCCCTCATAAAATTGGTTCTATATTCCATTTTGTCCGCGTTCTCGTGTGATATGACAAACGTCAGCACAGTAGGCTGTGTGTCACAGGAACCGGTTTGGCTTGGCTTTTCAAAACACGAAATTATTATTCGGGTCGACTCAAATACGAAACAATATAAAAAATTCTTAAAATTGTTTGGAATTGATTTGGAAATACAGCCAATGAAAATGCAGAAGAACAACAAATTTCCCTTGAAGAGCGCCGCGTTGGCGCTTCAACATTAGATGAAGTTGCCATCGTGATGTTGGTGAAAACATAGAAAGACGTGATATTGTGATTGCACGTCGCGATGTTGGGCAATTGCAAAAAATATCTGAAACACATCGTTTATATAACACGTTGCTATACTCGCTCATGTTTTGGCAAGGAGAAGATGGATATCATTTTAATATCAAAATAATAAATCCATTGAGTGGTGAAGAAACTACAAAGAAAATTAGTTCGATGAATTATTACGCACAACGTTTGATGATTCGGCAGAAGAGGAAAAAAGGTCTATAGGTAAAATTTAAGTCTCTTGCAATTTTTTATTTGTTTTGAATTGGTTCTTCTAATAATGATATAACATTATCAAGTCACAAGGAATTAAATTTGATGCATGTGCCAGATCCGAATATTAGTGCTTTTGGCTTGCCAAGTGATTTAAACGATCTAAATTGTTTTTTCTCAGTATTCGTCTACAAATTAAAATAAAATAAAATGTTTTCATACGCATTTTTTATTCCACCAGCAAGTTGATTGAAATTTTTGAACAAATTGAACATTTCCATAATGGCAATGAAAACCGAATTAATTTACTGAAAACCAGGATTAATAAATGTTCTAAAGTAACAAACGTCACGTCTTCATGAGAAAAAAACACCGTAATTGTCGTCATCTATGTATGTATATCGTAAAATGCAAGTGCAGTTTACAATGTAATCGTTGTTCATATGGCTTGACGCCTGATAACTTACTCGATTTTTTTTACACAATACCAGACCTGGTGGATATTGATTTGGAATCGGATTCAACTGCTACTGCAGATTCATCTTACCGACCTGAGACATCAGACATGGATTTTGATGAAGTTTTTTTATTTAGAATACGAAAAGGTTTGATACCTCCAATTATGCTATGATGTGCGGCAGATTTGGTGTGTTAGACAGAGTTGCTGCTTGTTCCGCTACGGCACTTATTAAAGATGTAGGTTTCAAAGACAACTCTAATTTATATGTAAATAAATGGATGTTGATTTCTGATCAACATAAATGGACTGCTCGATCTTCATAGCCAATGGTTACAAAATCGGATGACTATATAATACCTACTTTACTGCGAAGGTAGGAAAACTATTACTAAATATAATCACAGTTTGCAAATGCAAATGCTATGTATCCAGTGTTAATCTAAAAACAGTTATACTTACATATTGCAGTACATACACTTAAAAATATTTATATATGTATGTATATATATATACATATATGCTACTAAAATTTATAGGGAGCATTATTCTTCATATGTATCTACATGTACATATATATGTATGTATGTGAATATGAATCATGCAGGAAAAATCAATCTTATTTATTGCTAATGTTAATGGTCAAAATACATCGGGAACATTTCTGTTAACATACATTTATGTATGTATACATATGTATGTATATCACTGTAGTTGCGCTAATATACTCAGATGGTACATAGATTCTGACATATTCTTTTGCGTACAAATATTGCTGATAATTTAAATTTAAGTCGATAAAAAATTTACAGATTTTGCGGTCAGAACTATATTAAACGTAAAATATTTTCACTTTTAATTATCTTCATTATTTTAAGATTATGATGCCTTTTTACTTGCACGCGGTTCTGATTATAATAAATACATGATAGGTAATAGGGTTGCTGTTTGAAACCCTATAGGTCGTTGCCACCTGGTATATTGTCCAGTCTGGCATCATCTTTGTGATAATAATTTTTGTTATTTTTGGGAATCGCTCCTCGCTATAATGGACATTTAAATCTAAAATTTGACTTTTAACTTTAACACTAATTGGTGGTCCCACCAGGTCGACGGCCACTAAAAGGAGCGTTGCCACTAATAGAAATGTGGAATTTTCGCGGGAATTTTGAAATTTTGCTAATTTTACGCCTACATTTTCTGATGGCACGCACGCTTGTGTGATTTTTATTTAAAACTACCAATCACACTTAAATCATGCTAATAATATATGTATAATAATACCATACTTCTGTTTATTGCCCACCTCGTTCAGAGCTGCAGCGATGAACTCTTTCGCTTGTCACCATTGCGAAAACCACACAACGAGCTTTCGTTTGAAAGCTTGAGAAGTAAAAGTTACGCGATACCCTACATTAGTCAGGTATCTGGGTTTGAAACTTAGTTAGTTAGTTCCTTTGGAATTTTGGCAGGTAAGTACTTAAACATACATTTTATATAAATTATATTTGTATTTATTTTAGTGCGCTACAACCGATTCCTCACTAAAATGTATATCAAATAAGATTTTATGAATTCCAGTCATTTCGACTGAGTCGGAGAGGATGTTCAGCAAGGCTGGCTTAATAGCAAGCGAGAGAAGAGCATCACTAAAACCTAAAAATGTGGAGATGCTGACGTTCCTAAATAGGAACATATGGATCGCCAAATAAATGAGCCAAATTTAAACGTGAACTTGGGATCTCCAAAAAAACCTTATTTTTAAGTTACTTATGAAGTGTACTTTACTTGAAGTAATATATTTTTTTTTTATATTTAATTTTTATATATTATTTCTTTGTTTTAAATAATTAACGAAAGCTGTCAGATGAATTTTTTTATTAATTTAATTTAATGGAGAGAAGTAAAATGTAAAATGTTTAAAAAAATTCCCGATACTATCGATATTATCGAGTTTTTGTTGAAAAACCCATGTTTCAACTATCGATGTTTTTCTACTTTTCAATATTTTTTGGGGTCCAAAATGAGCCGACGGTATATTTACGGTATATCGGTATATTTAAGATGGTAACACATTTTCGAGAAGCCATTAAGTTAGGGAACTCCCGCTATTAACAAAAGCTATACAAAATAATGAGCAAAGATTTTAAACAAAAGTACAGACAGGAGTGGGAGTCTCAACCCGATACAAAGACATGGCTCTGCAGAAGTAAAAATGCAGTGGACGTTGATATGTTGATATTTTGAGTCGAATAGCATCAATTAGACAGCACGCTGCCACACACAAACATAAGGAGAAAAATAAGTTCTTGTGTGGCCAATCTAAGGTGTATTCAAACTTTTTTTTTGTATTCGCTATGTTAATACTTGTATAAGCGGTTTTAAATTATAGATTGATTCGTTCGTGGATGATACAAGCAAAAGTGTTGCGACTAGAGTGAGGAGAGCTGAATCGCTGTTTGTTGCTGCTGCAGCAGAGCACAACATACCGTTCCGGGCAATGGATCATCTTAGCAATGTCATCAAAAACGCATTTCCTGACAGTGACATTGCGCAAGGCTTTGCTTGCAAACGGACCAAGTCGGCATCTTTGGCTTACAATGTGATGGCACCTGCTGCAAAGGAAAAACTGAGGAGTGAGGTTAAAAAGAGCGTGTGCCCAGCTGGAAAAACCATGTTTTCGATCATCATCGACGAGTCTACGGATGTGACATGTACTACTTTACTAGCGTGCGCAGTAGTTATTCGACACCAAGTACTTATTTTCGATTGATTTGGATGGCGAGAAAGCAGAGGACTTATTCCAAGCTTTGGATAAGGGACTTCAGGAATTTGTGTTCAGCATGGAGAACATCATAGAATTTACAGCTGACACCACTAATGTCATGTTTGGTGAGCATAACAGCATAGTGCCCAAGATTAAAATGCAAATGATTCGGTTCTTTTTGTAAAGTGTTTGCCATATAATAATGGCTATAATAATGATACAATTCAGGTTCTGCAGTCTAGAAGATATAGTCATTCTCAACGATTCTGCGTTTTTGGTTTTCTCGTATCTTTAAAATTGTGGATGCCTTTGTGGTGGCGGAAGTGGGCGTGCGAAGTTTTAAAATATACTTATAACAGTGACGTATCACAGAAATCTGGATACAAAACGTCGTTGCTCTAGCTCTTTAGTCTTTGATCACTAGGCGCTAATAGGGACGGACGGACAGACAGACATGGCTCTATCGACTCGGCTATTGATGCTGATTAGTGTTGGGTAAACATTGCTCATTTTGGTGAACATGTTCACTTGTTCTTTTTTAGTAAGTGAGTCAACTCACTCATATTGCTCACTTGCTCTCTTAGATTGCTCAGTTACTCACTTGTTCACTTGCTCAGTTGTTCACTTGCTCAGTTACTCACTTGTTCACTTGCTCAGTTGTTCACTTGCTCAGTTGCTGACTTGCTCAGTTATTCACTATTCATGCACAGAACCCTAAGCACCACAGACTTTTACACAAATAAAAAACGTACATTTCAATATTAATCAAAGATTTATAACTAAAAACAAAACAAAAATGTATATAACAAAAAAACAAACTTTTTATTTCCTTTCATAGGAATTCTTATACTAACATAAAAATAAGGAGATCCTTTCATAGGAATTCTTATACTAACTTAAAAATAAGGAGATCCTTTCATAGGAATTCTTATACTTTTCGTTTTCTTCATTTTAGTGCTATAAGAGAAAAAAATGTTAATCAAGCAAACAAGCAATCAAGTACAAATTAGGTTGTACTCACTTCCGATTTACATGTTGTTATGCAAAAAAAATAAATTTTCAACGGTTGTTGACTTTAAAAGGGATCGCCTTTTACGTATGGTTTCGCCTGCACTTGAAAATATGCGCTCGCATGGCACTGAGGTGGCGACTAAGCAGAGGCGCTTCAGCATATAGGTATAAAGTAGCGGGTATTGCGCTTTCCGCTGATTCCACCATACCAATGGACCATCTTTTCGGCTGATGTACTCCTCAGCCAGGTACTTATCCATTTCTCTTATGGATGCTGCCGTATTGTTGGTGGGTTGGCTTACTTGCTGAAAAGTGGTGTCAAACTCAGCCCATATTGTGTCCTCTTCTTGTTTTTTGTTGCTTATAGCTTCTTGTGGAGGTTCAGGGAGTGACCGTATCGTTTGAGCCAATTTTTTGTTGATATCCGCTACTGATTTTTTAAAGGCCTCCGCAGATTTAAATGCGCGTCCTTTGAACCTGGGATCCAGAACAGTGCTCTCCGCATACAAAATATTAGCCTCGTTAAACGTTAAACCTGCCGTCCATCTCGTTTATGATTTCATTGATTACTTCGGCAACTAGGTTATTTTTAACTGTTGGATATATTTACGTTTTTTTCAGCTGAGATCTCTTCTGTAACTTCATAAAATGGCTTTAATACGGGAAGCACTCCATCAATGACATCCCAGTCTTCTGGTGACAAAATTAAATCTGTCCTTGTTGACAGAGCTGCCACGACTGCCTCCTTCAGGATAGACAGCCGTTCAAACATTTTGTACGTTGAGTTCCAACGTGTTGGCACATCCTGTGTTAGTTTGAGGTCAGCCAACTTAAGCAGCGCTTGCATATCTTTAAGCTTTTTTAAGCCTGATGAGCTGCGATGAAAATATTCGCTTATAGCTTTAGCTTTTCTGCGCACACTGCTCGTTTTATCTAGAGCTTTTTGGACAATTAGATTTAGGGTATGAGCAAAACACCGTATATGACTCCAATTGCCGGTTCTAATAGCAAGAGCAATGTTGTGTGCATTATCGGATGCTATTGCTGCGACTTTGTTTTTGAGATCCCATTCATTCACAATTTTTTCCAAAAAGCTGCACAGATTCGCAGCAGTGTGCGACGCTTCAAAGGCCTGACAAGCAATTGTATAGGAGGTCAGCATCGTTGATTCCTCATCGAAGCTTATAGTTTGGGGCGTGCGACACATCGTGAATAAATTTTTTAAATTCTGGTTCTTCGACCAAGCGCAAGGCGTGATGACCCTTGGCGATCATCCGTACAAGTTGCAGATCAATCTGCTGCGCTTTGCTCGCTGGTACAGGCCTTTCAGCAAAGCTTGTTATTTTTGGTTGCGCACTTTGCACAAAAATCGGGCCATCGGTGTTTTGCCGGATAACGGGCTCCATAGACGCCGGTTGCTTGCTCTTTAAATGGCGGCTTAAGTTGCTTTGAGATTTGCAACTCAAAATTGATGTGCAATACTTGCACTTGGCTTCCTGGCTTCCAACTTCCTCGAAATGGTTCCAAATCTCCCTATACATCCGAATTAGCGACATAGTGAATTTTTCAAAATTGTAAACAGCTTTGCCCGTAATATAAAAAGTGTGAAGTAAACGCAAATATGAGCAAAGCTACCAGATCGCAAAATGCCCTTTGAGTAGCAAAATTGCGCAAAAAGTGAGTAGAGAACAAGTGAGTAAAAATGAAGAAGTAAACAACAAAGAACAAGTGAGCAAAAAAGAACAAGTGAACAAAAAAGAGCAAGTGAACAAAAAAGAACAAGTGAACAACAAAGAACAAGTGAACAAAAAAGAACAACTTGGAAGGAACATGTTCAGTTGCTCACTTAAGTGAACAACTCTTTTTTGTTCACTCACTCATGAGCAACGCAACACTAATGCTGATCTAGAATAAATGTAGTGAGGAGACCAGACACAGTAACCATAGATCAAGAGAAACTTAAAGTAGTTTTGTGGTATAGGTTAGGTTGAAGGTATAAGGTATAAGGATCAGTGAATTCCTCAGACCATCTTTTGATAAAACGAAGGACTCCTTTGGCTTTATTCGAAATAGTGGGAGTATGGGAATTAAGAATAAATAATTAGACAATGCCCAAGTCGCTAACTTTATACAAGGTATAAAGGTATGGCTTGCAGCGACATTCGTGACATTACATTTGGAATTTTTAAGAGGAAGAAGGTTTATTGAACAACAATTGTTGAGAGCGTCAAGATCCAACTGAAAAAATAGCGGGTATTCAGTTTCACTATACTAAAACCTAGCTTGACATCATCAGCATACATTAGGACTCGGGAATAAGTTAAGATTTGGGGAAGGTCATTAATAAAAAAATTAAACACGGGACCGAGATGGCTACCCTGAAGCAGACACGCTGAGAACGATTCAAAGATACCCATTTATCCAGAAAATTAGTTGAGTTGGAAACCCAAAAAGGGATAGTTTATGGATAAGATACTGAGTCAAAATCTTTACTAAAATCCGTATAAACTACATCAGTTACAAGGGTGGAAAATTCCAGGAGGTTAGAAGAAACTGAGCGATGTTTTACAAATCCATGCTGAGATTCTGAACACAAAGGACAAGAAACAAAGGGTTTGAGTTTAGGAATAGTTGCTTCTCCTCGGTTGCTAGGTCCTGGTGCTTTTTATACCCGATACTCAAAATTAGCATAGAGGTATATTCGATTTTTGGGGAAAGTGGATTCCCAGAAGGAAGCTTTTGAGTATTAAGTATATATATTTTTAATCATCTATAGTCGAGTCGATAGAGCCATGTCAGTCCGTTCGTCTTGTTGGACGCCAAGATCTCAGAGAACTTTATATCTTGACTCCTCTGAGTACTCTGAATCAAGTTTCTATCAAAATTTTGCCACGCCCCGTTCCGCCTGTGGTCTGTGGCACACACAATTATGAAGATATGATAAAATCGTAGAATTGGATCAAATTATTATTTTAGCCAGAAGGAACAAATCAATTTTAAGTGGTTACGCAAAGTCCACGCGCTTACTTATTTTCGTCTCTCTTCATGGCATTCACCATGAAGAATGCCTGCGCGTTCTGATGGAGGGGAGCCATACTGACTGACTGTCCTGCGACTCACAACGTTCCTCCTCGTTAGTATCTGTGACCTACCTGGGAAGTGAGCTTCAATACTATCCGCTCTATATAAGTGAAGAAATTCACCTTTACCGACTTTGTCGTGGGTTTACATTACAAAAGCTACAATAGACTACTGTACTGTGTATAACCCACATGGCAGAATTGCTTCATTCGCGCCGTTTCAAAAACAATGTAATGTTCATATTTTGGCGCAAAAAAGTTTGTTCTCTCGTTTCGACACAAATTAATTGTATTACAAGGAAGAATATTAATAATTTAACAATTTATTTGATTAGTATTCAGAAGTTATAATATATCGAAATATATATCAATATACCAATTTATAAATAACTGTTGAGCTAATTATAAACTGGAGATCGAAAAGTCGAAGAAGTTAGAAGTTTACTGCTGTAGACAAATAAGAAACGAATACATTGGTAAATATATATATAAATAAATAATAATTATACGATGCACCACGGGGGTTTTTATCAAAACATTAATTGTCCTGAGCATTTCCTGTTGATCTTTTTATTGTTTCATCAGTAACAGAATTTCCACCTATTGGAATATTTGTGGCATCTCTCTTCAACAGAATTGGCTCAACTGTCAACCCAATTAGATCAATGGGCTCATTGCCAAATTTTTCATTCCGCGTTACACACGAATCATCTGTTATAGCTACAAATCGAATAATCCCAGACATTAGATAAGATTTATTTAATTTCTTGACTAGCGGCACACACTTTGTTAAAAGCTCCGAAAAAAAACTTTTTGCACCGGTGCGCACATTGCTGACTTAGCTGAGCTGAAAACTTAAAAAGCTGATATCTACCATTCAATATTTCATTACAATGGAAGCTATATAATATTGTGGTCAAATTTTCATATAGACACAAATGATACAGATGTCACATCCCCTCTTTGCGACAAATGATTGGCAAATTTATAAAAGAAAACAACATTTCGTTGAAATAGTTTTTAAACCCAAATAA